AAGTATAAAGTTTCAATTTTTGATGATTAAATAGTGATGATAGTTAAAATCCTCAGTTGATAATAAAGGTACACTTCTAATTAAAAAGAACAAAATAGTGAGCTTGATTATCTGTCAGAATGTCAGCAAGCTTCGGAGCATTTTTTTGTCATCATAGGCAGCCTCGTAAATACATTTGTGCATACAACGGCAGCACTTTCACATCGGACGCCTGTAACATTCTCAAGAAAAGACATCCTGGGTTGATATTTTGCATAAGTTACCTTTTGTTATAGAATGATTGAATCATTGACATCTGTAAAGCAGTAATCTCATTGTGTGAAAATAATAATACATTTAGTATTACCTATATACCGATAAAACCGCAGGTAAACAAGCTTGTAATTAACAGGTCGACACAAAATAAAGATAAAAAAATGTGATCTGAGATTAAACTTTAATAAGTCTTTCTAGAATAAACTTCTCAATGGGTTTCACCCATCTCAATCTGATTCGTAGCTACACCTGGGTTACTTAATGAAAAAAAATGCAAATGTGTTTTATCACCACCAAGGGCCTATTCTGGCATACATTGTGACCGTCAACTAAGATGACTTCAATTTCAACTAATTATTTTGTGCATAACATCAAATCCTTTCCTTTTTGAAAAATAACTAGTTCCCAGATCACCTACATGTCGTTAATATTGACATTATACCAGTTGTGAAACATGAATCAATATATTGCAACATTTAACGGTACTGTTGTGACATTAAACTTAAGGGAAAATATTGCACATTTAACGTCATTATATTGCGCCGCCGAGCGAGTGATTTTATTAAGTAATTTTATTAAGTCCGAGGACGTAAATATAATTATAAGCTTTATTCTTGAATAAAAGTATACGTCTTATACAGTAATTTCACAATTCTTAATATGTTTCTCGTATAAACAAACTATTTTGTCATTGGGCTGTCATTGCAGTCAACTATTTAAATATTGCGTACTGACTCACATATATCGAAAAATAAATGTGGCACATCAGGATCAAATTGCCTTGACGTATAAGTCAGTGAAGTGCAACGGGCATTCATAGAAGAAAGTTTGTAAACTATTTGCTCTATTTCAGTTTGCAATAGCTTATTACACGTTTTATAACGCTCCGCGGATAGATAAAATATGTTATCTATTTTTTTTCTTAGCGAGAAATGATCGCTAACTGAGATACTGCTATTGTCCTCTTTGATCAAAGATTTGTTCAAAATGAATATAGATTAATAATTAAAGTATGTATCGATTTGGACGAATTTTTCTTACGATATAAAATATTTTTTCGTTTAGGAAGTAAGACAAAATTATTATAACATTAATAAAAGGCGTAGGCTATAATAGTTACCTTTATTATTATGTATATTTACCAATATTTACCCGGCGATATTGTTCAGAAAGAACTACGTCATAAAAGTGGAGCTAAGTTTAACTGTCCATGCACTATTAGAAAACCAAACGTTAATGACTTTTCAAGTTGAAACCCGAAACTTGTTGATGGCTTTACAGTATACAGAATATTAGTCGACCGATAAAAAAACCTTACGTAAATCATAGATCATGCATAAATTATATATTCCGAGAGCGTTTATTAACAGCAATGAGAAAATTAAAAGGCCTTTTGTTGCGCTTTTTAATGACAATTTACCCTCTTGAAAATATAATCTAATCCCGAAAATACTTTAACAACTGCGCTTTCCATCCGCTTATCTTGGGCTTATTTGGGATGTATAAAGAGAATTTGGGAACTTTTGGGAAAAAAAAATACAAATGTGGAATTTTAAGTGGGTTATATAAACAGTAATTGTATGATGATTCCGGTTAATATCCAAGTCTATCAGCTATGCTTATGTGATATTTAATGAAGCATTCATCACAAAACAATTGTAAATTAATGTTATGCCTACCAATGTCACCGTGTTGCGATCGGCGGAAAACAGTGATAATGACCTCTGTATATTGATAAAAAAAACATGCTACGTCATTCAGTTGAACTTTGATTGATTTTTGTGTAAGATGAAATTTTATGTTACTTCGTTAGCTTCAAAAACAATTAAGGCGTTTTGCTGCGCTATCTAATGAACATTTATCCGCTTTAAATCTGAGTCGAATTCCGTGAATACGAGAAATACAAATTCTGCGCTGTCCGTTCGCTTATTTAGTGCTTGTTTGCGTGTTAAAGAAAAAACCGAAAGCTTTAAAAAGTATTTAAAAAAATGAATAAATAAACATAAATAAAATAAATAAATCACACAAGTCAAAAGCCAAAATATTTTTTTTTATTGGCATAAACATTTACCTGTTCATCACGACGGTTTATAATTTAACATGGTATATACGAGTACATTCATTAATTTTGTAAATAAGTACATTTACAAAAAACAGAAAATAAATCAGTAATTATTGTATGAAGATTTTCGCTGGATATTCTAAGGATCTGGTAATATGATAAATAAATAAATAAAATATATAATAGTACTTACCATCTTACAGCTATGGTATGCGCGAACAACTAAAAATGGTAGTTATGACTTTGTTAAAGAATTTTTAGATATAGATATTTGTCCCTTTTGTAGAAAAAGGTAGAAAACGTTAGAGCAGCCGCACCTGCTCTATCCAACAACCTAAACTATTAGATTTATCTAATTCACACAGAAACTTATTTTAGTGGGTTTTGTGGTTCGAGTTTGAAAGGTAACATCCTATATAATGACATGCATATAATATTATTTACTATATCGGGCCTCATCTGAATTTTCAAATGGAATAAGAAACTACAGAAGCAAAATGTGCCACTTTTCCGAAAGTGTTTTAGTAAGTCTAGGAAGCTGAATGGATATGTAACTATAGAACACCACATAGATATGGCACAATGTTCATTTGTTATGCTGTCAAGTTGAGCTTAATTAGCGCAGTTAAGAAGGTTTAAAATAATTAATAGTATTCTATTATCTCTTTCATGATATGTCAGCTTTTAACAAACTATTCTCTTTAAATAAGTAGCTGGGTTGTTTATACTATTTTCCATTTGACCGTATCTTCTGGATATGATAACGCAATTAAATAAGAAACTTAAATGGCGGCAGTTGATATTGAATTGTATAAGATAACCTTCTGACGAGAGTTACTGGTTGATTGAAAACAAACTCCTCTCTTAAAGGACACAAAAAGTCATCATTAAAATTTGATCTCAAGTTGAAAACTTTGCTCATCAGATGACATTAATATCATGTTAGCATAATAGAATCAATCATTGGGATATATGGAATATAGGTCAATCCAAACACGCGGATGATCGGTTCAATCGGTTCCATCGTAAAAGTGTCTTATTCATTTACATTTATTCTTACTAACAACGTAATTCTATATAAATATTATATTTGATTGCACTGAGGAAGAAAGTCGAGAATTGTAATGTCAAGCTGACCTTGTAACTTTATGTTCCATCACTAATATCTAATTTATTTTAATCTAGTATTGACAATAATAAGTCAAATAAAAGCGGTAGATTATCTTCAACAACAGCCGTATTTTAATGGAAATAGAGATCATTACAATTTCAATAACATAAAGTAGTTTTGCAAGCGAACGTTCTATTCATAGATTGTGATAAATCAAAGAAATATGAAAGACGTCACATCAGTATGTCGGTTAACTACTCTTTTTTGTTTCAATTAAGTTGTGATATTTCATTTTTTGTTCAAGCTACACAATTATTTTTGCGTTCTAAATTATGCTCCGCGGAGGAATAAAATAATTGTACTATTCATAATCTAATTATGTTTACTATACACGTTTTGCGTATGAGTGATCTATAGGTATCTATATCTATAGGTCAAAATAAGATAAATTAAAATTATTCATTACCAAATCAAAGAATGTGTTGAACTGGAAGACTGAATTCGCGATGAAAAATTTATGTTTACGTTTGTCGAGGATTATTAAGTACAGATTAAAATAAATATCTTTGTTACTGACATTGCTCATCAATTTTGTGTAAATTTGAATTTGACAAAAACCGATTTGTTTTTTTTTTAAGTCAACATTTTTGTTGTAGCCTTTGGATATGATGACCCCTTTAAAAGGGCAATTAATATTTATACACAATAATCATCTGTGGAACTAATTACTATCGCCTATTTACGATCAAACAAAAACTTTGGCTCAAGGGCCACAGTATTATATAGGTTTAATTAAATATTTATAAGGCATTAGCACGAAATTTAATATGTGATTGAAAGATTAGATGTATAACCTACGACTTACAGGTAGGCGTTGTTTAACCCTCAGCTTCATTTGCGCCCGAGTCTGGGGTCAGACAGGGTGGCAATTTATCACCCGAACTGTTTTCTCCGTTCCTTAATAATGTTTGATTATCTATTTGTAGACGTAAAAACAATCATGTGGTTATATGTAGTTGGCACAGAACTCATTAATTTACATGACTTGACTCTGATGTTGAAAGTATTAAGAGGTTAAACAGCCTTCAAATATAAAATTGAAACTTTTACTTTGATCAGTTGATTCACTTAAAATTGAAACAAAAAGGATAATAAAGAGAAATATACTCAGTTTACATATAAAAAACCGTCCTCTTTTGTGGAATCCTTAGTCTCATCTCGGTTAAAAAGCACAACAATGTTAAAACGGTTTTTGCGTCATTAGACAGTAGAAATGGTGAAAAGGGGAACTGTATGAGGAAATTATCTTTAAATTTGCACGCAACTTGATGGTCTAGGAACACAAATCTTGAAAAAAAATGATAATCTCGTCAAAGAACAAAATCATAACTAACTCAATGGAGTTCCGTTAAAATTAGACATATGCTGACGTCACTCTGAAAAAATTGCATAGATACTTTCAATAAATCCAGAAATTTAATTATAAAAAAATGTTATCTTTTTGTAATGAAATGGTAATTCTTTCTATATGCTTAATATCTAAAAAAAAGATTATATTTTTTTCTGCTTCAGGTACGAACCCATACATTGTAGGTGGTACAGGTAAGGTGTTTCATTTTTTTGAAACAAAATAATATATTTCAAAAAAGTTCTTTTGACTTTATTCTAGTTCAAATACTTTTTTATTTTATGCTATCACAATTCAGTTTTTTATACAATTTTAATACCATTGTCCTTTTGTTAATTTCATAAAAGTTATCTTGACAATTATTCAATAATCACCATCACTTTTATCATCACTGTTAATGTCATCATCATCATCATCATCATCATCATCATCATCATCATCATCATCATCATCATCATCATCATCATCATCAACATCATCATCATCCGTATCATCATTGTCATCATCATCGTCATCACGATCATCATCATCATCATCATCATCATTGTCATAATCATCATCACCGTCACCATCATCATCATCATCATCATGATTATCATCAGCATTATCAATATCATTTATATAATCATCATTATCATCAATACAAAATTTTAATGTTCCTTTGATTTAACTACACGCTTTGAATTTGAATATTATAGGTGGGACATTTGTTATACAGAACACGGCTAGCCAGATTTCAACGCCAAGTTTAGCAACTACCATTGTTATCCCTGGAGATTCTGTCTTCGATTCTCCGGCAACGTCTTCAGTAACATCTAGTACGTAAAGTACTAAATATCTGAAGCACTGATTGATTTACAACACTTATAAACAGAACGATTTTTCAACGTTAATTGCTGTTGTTTTAATATCTAATATATATTTCGTTTACCAGCATAGTTTAACATTGTAAAAATACTGATAAATTTAAAGTGTTAAGATATGACGCGTCACAAATATTTTTCAATAAACAAATCAAAAACTGAATAGAAAAAATAGGAAAACACTATCGTAACAACAAATACATGAGCAAAAATGTGAGTATCCTGATCCGAGTTTAATTGTTTTTTAAAGATATATCATGCTTAAATTTGATATTTGAAGAAAAAAAAACACTGATTATTACTTTACAATCTATTTTCAAAACGTAAACTAAACATCTTACTGGATACGCATAGAAAAAATCTGTCAGGATTAAAACTCTTAAAACAACAATTAATCACAGAATGATTATATAGTGCCATTAAACCTCCGGTTTTGATAAGAATAAACCAAATAAAATTGACAAGTAATAATAATAGGAAATGCAACTTCCCAAAAAATTGTATACAATCACTTTATTCTCAAATTAGACACATTCAGGGAGAATTTACCAGATTTTGATATTTTTCTTCCATTTAAAGTATTTTACCGCAAGATGAATCAAGTGTATCTTTAACTGAAATAATTTTAAAATTCATGTTGCCATACAGGGTACACATGCTCAACATATTCCATGGTCTTTGCTTTGGTCGATCCAACTGACCCGTTGACGTTACTTCTAACTGTAACAAGAGCTGACACGGACACAGCGGATTGCACAATATACTGGGATGATGGTCTAACTGATGAAGAAGAAATAGAAGTCTTATTGGAGCTAGAACATACCTATATTAAGGTAAAATTGTTTCTCTTATGTCACTTCAGTAGCAGAAAAAATTTCAATAAAAGTTGATCTTTAAGAAACAGTTTCTCATCATTTCATCATGCTTCAAGAAATGATACATCCAGGCCTAGAAAATCAAGAATATCATATCATTTTCAGCTTGTATCTTAAACGGTAATATTATTTCGAAAACGTTCAAAAGAGCTACATATGGGTCAAAAATCCTAAAATCATAAAATTTGAAATTTTAGCATGGACTTAGTGACGCACTGGAAAAACTTGCAAAAGATAATCAAAACATAAGCTCTGAGTTTATTTATAAATCCATTTTCTCGTATGAGTTTCACTCCAGTTTGAGTTAAAAGCGTTGTACACTGTTTTATTTATGGTCATTTTACACAATAAAATAATTATTTTGAGGAAAACCGAATGAGAAAATGAAATAAAAATTATGAAGTTTTAATTCAAGACCTACATCAAATGGTGCACAGGTCTCGAAAAAATATTTCCAGTCCATTCCTATAAAAAACTCTCAGGGGAGTCCTATTCAGATTTGAAATATCTCGAGTGACCGAATAACACCCATTACCACCCCTGTTTATTTAAAACATTATGATATTCTTGATATTCTAGGCCTGGATGTAACATTTCTTGTAGCACATACATGAATAAAACATGACAGATACGAAGACACATTCTATCATAATACCGACATGTGTACGAGAACAGTAATACTTGTTATAAGTACAAATACATGTCATTTAAAAGCTGCACGCCTCCAGATGAGCAAAAATATCTTGATATAATCCAACTAGGGAAAAATGTAAGATTTTAGGAAAAGTATAAAGATTCAAAATTCTAGTAAAAACTTACATGTTATGTGCTATAAATGACTAGATTTTTCAGTATGTATAACTATATTTCCTACTGCGTTAATAACGCAGCAGGGGCTATTTTTTGCATATTTTGACCTCTTTATAGTAATTTACCTAGGTTGTAAGTGCCATTGATAATGTGTAAATTGTTTCCTTTTGGTAGCTTGACAATAATATGCTGTTAAATACATTTTCAAATTTTCAAGAAAATAAACATGAATCTGGAGGTGTGGTGCTTTATCATATTCTCTTTTTTTTCAACTATTCGAGAAATATGGAGAGCTATTGCACTCACCCAGACGTCCGCGTCGTCGTCGTCGTTACATTTCAGTTTATATTTTGCATGGAAATTGATATCTGCAATGCTACTCAAGACAATGGGTTGGAAGTTCACACACTTAATTGAGAGCATAACAGGTGGCCACTGTCAAAGACCCATATCTTTTTCTTTGATTATGACTGAATAAATGCCCTTTCTGAACATTTAAAAAAGTCTACACTATACAGGCTCTCGTTTAACTATCAGGCACAGGGAATCTTCGAGCACGATGTCCTAGGGATAACTGTTGTTGTTTAAGAGTTCTGGTAAAGGTTCTTTTCTTAAAAGAATTACAATAATGTAAAATACTTTATATAACGTATCTTCAGTGTCATCACCAAAAAAAAAAACTTTGCACTATTTCCATTTCAGCATGGAATTTACAGAGTCAGCATGTCATGTGACGACAATGTGGTCTGTCCAAGTTCTTATTCCGACTGTTTAACTACAACTGACTTCATGGACAATGCGTACAAAACATTTGACAACCCCTTGACCTACTTCGTTTCTAAGCCAATATTGGTAAATGTCAAAAAATTGTTAGAACATGGAGTCCCATTTGTACAGTTAATCCAATATTTTTTGTTTTTGTTGTTTGTTTTTTTCATCAAACATATGCAAAAAATAAGTCATGATTTGGAGGGCCTACATGCCTTGGTGTGCATTATCTTACTCCTCCCTGGGAAAGAGTAAAACTGTCGCTAAGAAATTGAAACATTAACTCCGGTAGATTTATTGGAGAAAAAAGCGAATAAGAGATATTGTAACACTTTAACAAGATAATTTCAGAAGAATGCTTCTTTTATTGTTACATTTATTAGTAGCAAAGTAGTAACAACATTAACCTAAGAACAGGAATTGCAAGAATAAGATGTTTGTATGTAATCGTTCTTTTTTTTAATATTCATACTTTTGTCTCCGAGTAATCATAAAACAAAAAGAAAATACATTGTATTAAATTGCAATGCTTTCCTTTTTTAAATGATCTTTAACAAAATTTCAGGTCAAAAGCTATATGGAGTTTGCGCCATCTGGCGGTACATGTGGTCAACCAATGATAAACTGGAGAATTACTGAAGTCGATGGTGAAATATTGACGCCATTCACTAACTTTATCCAACCAAATACATCCGTATTAAGGATAGAGCCAGAAGTTCTAGATCCTGGCGAGTACATTCTCAACCTAGAAGTGTCCTTTCCGTCGAAATCTGCAAACCACTGGACAGAAGACGCTTTAATCATAAAAGTTGTACTTCCGGAATTGGTTGCGCATATTTCTGGTGGTGAATTACTGCAGGTTCCACACGGAGGAGATATTTTCATCGATGCAACAATATCTACTGACCCGGTCTTTTCTCTTCCGTCTTTAGCTCTTACGCCGCTTGTTGCCACTTGGTCATTTGCGCATTTTTCAGTAACACCAGCTTTGTCGGTGATACATCTGTTGCTAAAGAACTTTCCTGATACAACTCCTCCAGCCGCAACTACGAAATATCAAATAATTGCAGGAACAGATAATATTTTGAAAGTTGATACATCAGTGTTTACTGTGAATACGTACGCAGCCGTTATGTTCACATTGTCACGTGGGGACAGAAGCTCGTCTGCTTTGCAAGTTATACACTTTAGAAGTAATGTGCTTCCTTTGAGTATTGAGTAAGTACAAAAAGCATATGTGGTTAATGATGATACAATTTAAGTTTAAAATAAGAAAAAACAAGATTTATACGCAAAGATTTGGTATATTTATCTTTCCCTGCGGTGATCTAGAAAGTCCGTCTTGTGGGCAGAAGGTAATTGTTACAACCCAAAGTCCTATAATATCTCATTCTAAAGTAATACTCTAATATAGAAATGGTACTTGCATATAATACGATCTTACTTATATCACAGGCAAAAGTATCGTACCTGGGAAGAAAAAAATATGACCAGATTGATAACAAAAACCTGTGTTCATCTTAAAAGTGTCAAAAAAAACACAAAAAAATGTATAGAATGACCCCCTTTAAAGATATACTATAAGTTAAGAGAAGACCGGAAACTCCAGATTCGAGCCTACGAGCAAGGGATTCATTTCCCGGGCCGTTGTGAAAACAATTGGCCAGACAATAAAAAAAAACTTTTATCACTATTTCACGTTTATATAAAGCTTCAAAATGAGACCAACACCAAGTCTCTAGCCCTTCCCGTTCATGAAATATCTATCAGGAAACGAGCGACTTCGTGCTAAAAATCCTTGGTAGACATAATTGCAGCACAACAATTCGGTACGTAAACATAGACTAATACATGTATGTCAGCTGACTACGGGTCAAAATTACTTGAATTTACTAAATAACATTACTAAATACATTAAGTTGGACCACTCACAACCGTCAGTAGCATCTAATACACACGAGATTCGAGTTTCAAACATTTACACGGTCTTTCAATCGCTTTCTACGCCATTAGGCATCTTGTGTGAAACGTTGCGGTTTTCGTTGTTATTGGCCAATCAGAAGACTCGTTACAAAATATCGAACAGCTGATTGACAATGGCGTAGAAAGAAATCTAAAGACCGTGGAAAGGTCTGAAATTCGAATTTTGCGTGTATCAGATGCTACTGACGGTTGTGAGTGGTCCAACTTAATGTATTTAGTAATATTATTTAGTAAATTCAAGTAATTTTGACCCGTAGTCAGCTGACATACATGTATTAGTCTATGTTTACGTACCGAATTGTTGTGCCGCAATTATGTCTACCAAGGATTTTTAGCACGAAGTTGCTCGTTTCCTTATAGATATTTCATGAACGGGAAGGGCTAGAGACTTGGGGTTGGTCTCATTTTGAAGCTTTGTATAAACGTGAAATAGTGATAAAAGTTTTTTTTTAATTGTCTGGCCAATTGTTTTCACAACGGCCCGGGAAATGAATCCCTTGCTCGTAGGCTCGAATCTAGAGTTTCCGGCCTTCTCTTAACTTATAGTATATTTTTAAAGGGGGTCATTATATACATTTTTTTTTTGTTTTTTTTGACACTTTTAAGATGAACACAGGTTGTTTTTTTATCAATCTGGTCATATATTTTCTTCCCAGGTCCGATACTTTTGCCTGTGACTTATATGGGTCATTTTCATTTAAATGATATACGAAAAATGATTCATTATGTCAAGTAATGATTTTATAAGCGGCACTGTAATATTTAGTATTGACCCGCAGATGCAAATTAAAGCCGTACTGTATTGTTATCTCAAAGTCTGATCATTTGTAACTAGTAAAGATCAAAGCAAGCTTGCACATCCGTGCAGTCTGACAAGGTTATAAACTGTTGGTTGACCTACTTTACGTTATTGTTGAGATCAACAGATAACAAACAATCCAAAAAGACAAATGTGGCACGATTTCATATAAGTAATATAGCATGTTAAGGGAGACGAAGGCAATTTAAACAAGTTGTGGAATATAAATAATAATGATAGTCGTAGTCGTCGAAGTAGTCGTAGTCGTAAGTGAAATCGTCAAAATCATCGTTTTTGTCGTTGTCGTAAACATAGTAAGTAAGTACAATCCTTTTGATTATACTCGAAACCATAATTATGCTTTTGTTTTTACTAGGAACTGGTGCGTAGTGATTTCATTCTGAAAACGCATATGAGTCGGCATTACCTTCCATTCTACAAACACTTTTTTGCCAAAAAATGTGTTTATTAATTTTGAATTATGAATTACTTAAATGCAGTATAAGCATATCTTCATTTTCAACATGGACCCTAGTTTTACAATATAATAATTTGTCGCGGAACTATTTTGATTAGTTGCAAAATAGTACTGATTTCATAACTTGCGGTGATGAATTTCAATACAAGTATGCGAAATTAATAAAGTAATTGTTAGTTTCGATATTATAACCCGATTAAGCATGTATCACAAAGCGGGAAATTCTTTGAAAAATGGTGTGATACTGGGATAAAATCACGACGTTACGCAACACGAAGCTCTAAAATTGAAATAGCTTGAAATACATTTAAACTTGTTTGTTTTGCAACTAAAATCAAGAATCAAGTTATATTTAACTTAATATAAAAAACAATTGTTTCGAAAATATTTAATTGAATCAACATTACCTCAAGTCTATGAAAATATAACGGCGTAAAAATACGTTTCGTATTCACGTAGTCGGGGGGGGGGGGGGGGGGGGGGGGGGGGGGGGGGGGAGTCGGGGGAGGGGAACGAGCTTAATGCGCGATCAACTATGATATATTATTGGCCCGGTTCCGGCATGTTGTGCTCGAGGGTGACTCGCTCTATACTTACAAATATATATTTCATTTATCGTGAGATTTTTTGTTTGTCGTCAACTTTGACCACATGTATTTATTGTGCTTTTAATTTCCATCATACCAGGTGTGTTTATAATTGCCATGTTGGAAGGGAAAGGCTTTTTTACTATGATAAGATAGAGCTTGACGCCAAGCTTCCCGATGATGTCGATCGTTCGGGTTTGACTTATCAATGGCAAATAAAGACTTGGAATATATTGTTCAATGTATTCAACTGGCCAGTCATCGTTACAAGTCAAACAGGTATTCAAAATTATTTATATTGTTAGTAGTTTTAAACATTGTTACAAGTAATGTGTAGATGTATAATCAGTTTTAATCAGTTTTCGATGGTTATATAAGGGTAATATATAACTTGCAAAAAGTTTTTTTTCTTTTTACAAATTAATAAATTGTATATGATATTTTGTGCGTCACAATTTTCAATTAAAATCACCGTAACATTTGACTTTGTGATAAATTGAATGCAATTTTCTGTGCGACACGCAGTCAAATTTAGCCGGGAATATCACTGTTTTTGTTTGTTTTGGTTTTTACGTCACATCGATCAATGAATAAATCATTTAAATGGTTAATGGGAATGCATCATGGACAACATTCATAGAAGAATATACATGAATTAGTTAGTTCACTTAATTTGATCTTACATAATTTGTCGTTTTCACTCTCACTACGCAACTTCCTGGCTCACAGAAGCATATAAATGAAAAGGCCACACATTTATTTCTGGTTCAGAGCGATAGGGTTGTTGTATCGGCTTAACCACCGGACCACAAATTAACTTGATGTTGTATTCTACTTTCGTTGATGTATTTTTTACAGGTTTTAAGTCATCCTCTCTGGGTATAAGTAACTTTCTTGCTCAAGGTAATGTATATATGATAACGGTAACAGTTACAGCCCCTGGGTATGTGGCGACAAAAGCGTCATTTGTTCGTAGAGTCAACCATATTCCTTACGGAGGCACATGTGTACTGAGCAGTCTCTTAGGTAAGCTTTTAATTTATCAATAAATTGTTGGTCAATACCCTTAATAATTTAATTTATTAAAATTACATTCTATAAACAAAATATTTTAATGCGTCCATAAACAAGGAAAACAGTAGAAGCAAGTTATTGACCAGTAAATCGAGTTATATTCAGTATGACTTGGTGTAAGCGGATAATAGGTACTTCTGCATCTCCTGCGATTCTGGTCCAGTTGATTTATTTATTTGTTTATTTAGACGCACAAACACTGAACATGTCGTATAGCGACCTTCCAGCTTTACTGATGGGTGCCCCCTATTCATTATTTCATGGACGGGCACCCGAGTAGTACCAAGCTGGATAGCTTCCTCACAAGAACGGATCCAAGTCCTGGCAGGCTCTAACCTTTACCATTGTGAGACTAGTAGCAAAAAGTCATCGAACTTAACCACTTGCCCATGGACGTCCTTAATATTTTGGCAATTTACATTATTCTAATGGAAACTCTTTCGTATTGATATACATGAAGGAAACTTTTTCGTATTGTATTCTTTAAACCATTGAAGTGATATACATGAAAGCTAAGTGTATAAATAGAATAAAATACTCTTATGATTTCTTATTTATTACAGATCTCCTCATACTTTATATGCGCAATATATTTTGCCGTTGCATAACGTTTCATCAGCGATTTCATACCTGATCAAAGACTTTCAATTCAATAGTTATTCAGTTGTATATTAATGAATACTATTATCAACTAAACTGAACCTATAATATATGCAAATAGTTTAATTGTTTGCCTTCAATATTTTAGTGACGTCAGCACGAGATTGGTTGACGTTTACGTGCAGTTCCTGGAAAGGAAATGACGACAGAAAAGTTAAAAACCTATTGGCTGACGTCAATCCTATTTTGACGTATACTGTACGACAACAAACAATCGGTGCTTTAGTTGAGGAGGAACCGATATTGCAAACAAGTAAATAAAATTATCATACATTTATTTTACATGTTATTGTAGAGCATCAAACCTATTGTAATTGATCAGCTTTATGTGAGTAAAAGAAACATTCTTTTCTATGTTTTAGTTAACTTGTAAGCAAAATTTCAAATTTCAAATATAATTTAACAGAAATGACACAAAATTGGTACTCAAATTTACACACAAAATGCTATTTTCAATTTTCATTTTTGAGTATACTTCTCAATTATTTTGTGCCCATCTTTCTGTTCCAAGTGCCCCAGTTGTTGAATGCTAGAAATTCGATTTTTTGGGGGTTTTTAACGCTTTTGACAGCAGAGCAGTTTCTTAAAAGAATCATCAGGTTTAGGGTTGACAGATACAAGTAGCGATTCCAAAATACCCGAAAGTATGCCACAATTTTAATAACATTTAATAAGCATAATGAAAATGGCACAGTAATATAAATTATTTAAAACATTTGCAGCGTTGTGGTTTTCATATTCTTGTGGTCATATCTGATACTAATTTAAGCAACCTTACATACTATTCAGTGACAAGTTTAGCGACAAATTTGCGCATGGAACATAAAAAGCGTTTTGTTTTTCATTTTGATATGTTTTTGTCTTCTCAAATAGTAAACGAAAATATACCATCGACTACAGACAATCTATTACAGACAACCCGTTTTATAAATATCTTTTGAAAGAATATATTTTTATTATGTGTATACATATATATCAATAGTTATAAAGATTTTTGAGGGGGGGGGGGAGAAATTACTCTATAAATTGACAGCAGCCGCGTTTATTGATTTCATAAACGTCTCGATAATTAACTAGTACTGGTAAAGTGCTTGACAGCCAGCCCAGGAAGATGCGGTGGCTTAACTGTGCTCTGACTTACTGCCGTAATTCAGAGGGTAAATTACCAACAAGCTTCACCACCGATTATCCAATGAAAAGCGACGTTACAAAACGTGAAGTATTACAATAACATACCTACTTTTATTTACAGGGTCTCAGAAATCTCACGTGATACTAAAAGTAGGAGCTGCCGATATGTCATATATATCTTCGTTATACATCCATGTGACAGACATGTACAATAACTACAACGAAGTTTTCCTCTCTGTAACAGTAAGTCTAAGATTGTATGGTGGCAGATTGGCATTGAGCTGTTTTTGCGTCCAATAACTTTTTGCTAAAGCTTAAATGGCACATATGCTGCAACCCTGAAAAAGTCAAACCTTAGAATGTATGTTAAAATATGTCAAACAGCTTGTTTAAAACAACTTTTTTGCGTTCAGTCGTCATTTCGAAACTAACATAAAGTTTCATGTTAGATTTGTTATCTTTCTAATTCGTATCACCAACTACTTCATATAGACAGTGAAAACATGATGAAGCTCCATTCATGTGCAGTATTGGTTGCTTGTAAAGATCTTGGAGATATGTCATGCTCTTGTGGCACAATAGCTTTATATTCTGCACGATAAAATTTGGAACATAGGACAAAACAATAAAAATCATCAACAGTGACTCGCAAGTTATGGTTCAGTGAAAACACAAGTAGGGTACAGATCATAAAAATTGTTTTAGCAAGACTGGTATGGTTATCAGAAAGTTCGCCTCTATTATTTACTAAATTTTATCAATATTGAAAGATATCTATACCAGTCTGTCAGGTAACATAAGGTAAAAACAATAAAGTTAAAATTAAGATATGATTTATAGTGAAGAAAAAAAATTAGGCATAAATTTGCTTGTGTAATCGGCGTGTGTTGACAAAAACAAAACAAGAAGCGAGGAGCACAGCGTTTTATGCGCATATATTTAACGAAGCAGGATATGGATGCATATATAAGCAAAGATAAACTATTTCTTAATATGATTCAAATGTTTGATTAAATGCAAGCCGTCTTTAAAAGTTTTATGGGTTATCCCGCCTGTTTATAAGGAACTGATGTTGAGATCTTCTCACAAGATCCGGTTGGGGTACAGATCGTTTATATACTGTGATTACTGGTAATATCAATAGTTCAGTTGTTTCCAAGAAGAGCACACTCTAAATGTCTCTTAAAAATTGGCTGTTGCCTTCAAAACACGTGTTCAAACTTGCTTTCAATGATCATTGACAGCGCAGAAATAAGTGAAAGTGTTGTATCAAATCATTTATATGCAAATATTTCAGTCGAATCCTGCGTTCAATGTTAATGACGTCACACCGACGTTAGCTGGCGCTAACGTTGTTCGCAGCTATACACACGTAGATTATCCGTTTGATGAGCAACAACTTCGAGATATGGGAAAGAGTGACATGATTGTCGCCCTTGTGTCTGCTGTTTGTAGTAATCTCCACCTTATTACGGTAATAACATAAACATGTCTTTATTACTACTGTCTGTTAAATACTCACATATTTTCATACAATGATATCTAGTGCAATGCAATTTACATGATTTCTTATCTTTAAATTTTACTTTGGTGTAATATTCTGAAATTAACAAGTTCAGCATAATAATTACTTCTCACCGTTTATAAAAGATACAAGGGAACATGAATTAGGATGACGTGACGTTATGTGAAGTGTCGTATCACTAATTGTCATTATGGTGTTGTGCTAAGTTATAAGAGTGTAAATCGTTGAATTTTACCAATTACAGACTGTCAGTCAAAAATACAATACAAATAAAACATTTGTATATTCACGCAAAGGATCAGACCGTAAGACTAATTCTTATAAAATATTTCTCCTTGAAAAGCTGATCTTCATCACTTTAAGAATAACATATTTGAGAAAATATTGTTTTGCAAAAGGAAAATCACTATACATAAATAAAACATATTCTTATATAATAATATTCCTATATGTAATAGTTACCGGTGTGGAAACCTCCTGTCCCTCGAAAGCTGAACACCGATGGTGCAATTCTTGATCTAAGTCCAAGTGGTAATAAAGATGTTGGGCTACTTGATGATGTCTCAGCAGCAGCCAACAATGAAACCACAGATCCTGCTACTTTAGCCATCCAAGAAGTAAGCTTTTTTATCATGGACATGTGTGAGTATGTTATTCAAAGGACTTTTTTCATCTGTTTTTTTTTTTTAAAAATGTCGTGTATTGAAAAGGCGTAAATCTGTGGAAGGAAAATGATCCCTCGGAAGCATTAAAATCAGCAAATTACATGAAAATTGCAACACGAATTCGTACACGAAAAACTTATTTAACACGCACTTTCACAGTTTTTCGTGTATTTGTGGTTCGATTTGTCGCTATTTCGTCCAGTTTAAGAGAGGGGAGAATGTTCCTGTGGGCACAAGGCTATAAATTATATATAAAGCAAAAGAACAGTTTACTATCAATAATTTTATTTCTTGAGAACGTTTGCTCCTGTTTCCAAAAAGACATATACACATATTAAAAATCATGGTTTCTTTGAAATTTTGCATGACCATAACAGAAGACAACTAAACCTTTTAAAGCACTAATAGAGTTGCCAAACTCGTTCTGTAAGTTACATCATCATCTGTTAATAACAATAACACTATTAAATTAACAATGCTTACAAAATGAGCACCACTATAATGCATTTTTATTGTTGCTATTTTGTGGACAAAACGGCACAAGAGGTTTGGTCAGACTTCATACTTTTCCAGAATAACTTAGCTATTTACTTAAGGAAATAAACAGTACCAGTCAATATCGCTGTTTGCGCTCAGTTGGTCAAACTATTTTTCATGAAGTTCATTCTGTTGAATCTTATTCATCATTGACCTTTATATACGTTTATATGCATGAACTTGATATCAGACTTCATGTATCTGCTTTATACGTGCATTTCTGGTTTATATTCTAGGTCATACAAAACATGACTTCGCTGATCAAAAGGGTGGTTCAGAATGACCTGATCAACGGTACACGAAAGGGAGACAAACTGCTGAGTTCACTTATAACCAATGCGTTCACAAACCTTGCCGCTAAACCACAGTTTGTGAACTTTGAAACAAAGGTGCGATTGTTGATTCAAATTCACGAATATTCAGAAAACTCAACAAATACTTCTTTTTTGATTTCAAGAACACAGAAAAATATCGTTCAATATTTTTATATGCGCATATTATGTTATACCCCTGGCGTCCTTCTGTCCGTACAAACCAGAGCTACATTATGGGGTTTGGTCTATTGTTCTCATAACAATAGATGTCTTTGATGTCATTCATTCCGTTTCTCTTGTAGGGTTATTTTCTGCATTGTGGGGTTAGAAAGAACAAAAGAAATAACACACAAAAAACCCATAATGTAGCTCTGGTAAGAACGTCCGTCCGTCCGTCCGGTAGCAATTTGGTTTCCGGAGCATAACTTAAGTTCCATTTGGCCAACAGTATTCAAACTTCATAGGATGATTGTCCATATTGGTAAGGAGACACCTGTTGATTTGGGGTCACAAGGTCAAAGGTCAAGTTCACTTTTACCGTTAAACTGAAAATGGTTTCGGGAACATAGCTTAAGTTCCATTTGACCCACAGTATTCAACTTCATAGGATGATTGCGCGTATTGGGTAGAAGACCATTATTGATTTTGGGGTCATAAAGTCAAATGTCAAGGTCACTATTGGCTAAATACTGAAAATGGTTTCCGAAGCATAACTAAAGTTTCATTTGGCCCGCAGTATTCAAACTTCATAGGATGATTGTTCATATTAAGTAGAAGACTCCTGTTGATTTTGGGGTCACAAGGTCAAAGGTCAAGGTCACTTTTACCCTAAAACTGAAAATGGTTTCCGGAGCATAACTTAAATTCCATTTGGCCCACAGTATTCAAACTTCATAGGCTGATTGCCCATATAAGTTAAAAGACCCTATTGATTTTGGGGTCACAAGGTCAAAGGTCAAGGTAACTCCAAGCTTAATACTGAAAATGGTTTCCGGAGCATAACTTAAGTTCCATTTTGCCCGCAGTATTCAAACTTCATAGGATGATTGTTCATATTGGATGGAAGACCCCATTGATTTTGGGGTCACAAGGTCAAAGGTCAAGGTCACTATTAGCTAAATACTGTAAATGGTTTAAGGAGCATAATTTAAGTTCCATCTGGCCCACTGTATTCAAACTTCATGGGATAATTGTTCATATTAAGTAGGAGACTTCTATTGATTTTGGGTTCACAAGGTCAAAGGTCAAAGTCACTATTAGCTTAATATTGGGTATAAGACCCCTATTGATTTTGGGGTCACAAGGTCAAAGATCAAGGTTACTATCACCTTTAAACTGGAAACAGTAAAATAACTCAAGCATTTATCAACCTACAGCTGTAAAATCTTAAAGAATTAACAGCTTATACCCCTGACGTCTTTTCGTCCATCCGTTGTAGCATTTTTACTTACAAGATAACAACTTGACGGTGGTGATTTGAAATCAGCAACTGTATATATACATGACTGTTTTTCAGCTATAAAGGAGGATTGCTTATTGAAGGAGGTAATACTGTATTTAATTCCCATGTCTTACAAATGCTTCATCCTTACTAAAAGAAAAAGTTTTTTCGGGCATATAATGCTCCGCCTAGCGTAGCTCTTGCTTTCATATTGATCCGTACATTGATAAATATTCTGAGAGTAACAATAACCGTTTAGGAATATTAAAACATGGCTACTGTACATTTCGTAGAGGTATAACATTTGATATATATTCTTTTAAATTGACATTATTAAGATTTGAAAAATGGAAGCATATCCGATTAATCTGTTTACGAAATAAAAAAAAATGAACAGTCACCTTGAAGATCAAACTTCAAAAGTCGAAACACCTTAAATATCTGTTTGAACAAAGATAAGTATTTTCAATTCCAAAGGGTCGGGCTAATTAAGAATTATCTATCAGTAAAGTCATTTTTAAAGTATGTAAAGGCATTGCTCTGCTCTCCATGGTTTGCATGTTGCAGCAATACTAAAGCTCTGAAATTTTTTTTCAGTCACTGGTTTCAAACCTGGCGGGTTATCTTATAAACAGCACGGAAAAAATATATGTTTAAATGAATGAACGAATGAATGAATGAATGAATGATGGAAATAAGTAAACGAATGAAAATAAATTAACAAATAGATCAATCAATCATTTGTTCATGCAATTAATCAATCAATCATCAACAATTAATCAACCAAAATAAAGAAGTAGTAGTTAAATCAATATCAAAACCTAGAATTGTTTCAGGTGGACCACATCTTCTTAGCTGATTTGGTAGGAGTTGACGCACTTGAACCTGAAAACTCAACAGAAGACCAGTCAGCACAAATCGAAGCGACGTCTGGTGGTAAGCGTGTTTTTTTTAAAGTTTCTTTATGTACACGTAATTCATACCAGGCCTTATTAAATGTTGCTTTATCATCATCATCACCATCATCATCAACAACACTATGACCAACATCATCACCATTATCCTCAATATCATCATAATCATCAATGTTTTTAACATCATAATTATCATCGATCGTCATCATAATCTTAATCAGTATTAACAACAACATCAGCATCATAACCAGCAATGTTGTTCAACAATAACGTTTCAACGTCACCAACATCTTTATGGTCATGTTCACTAACATCATTGTCATCAGAATAATATCTTAATGTACACATATATATCTGTATCGACGAATTGAATAGCACTTTTATAACTATCAAAACAAATAAGAAATTAAATTAAAGGATTAAAAAATGCATTAATGGTGTTGTTGATATACTTTTCGTTATAACTTTAAGCAGTTTCATTATGTTTTGTTTTCAGAGATTTATTACATGTTTCAAGCAGTCGTTCAGTCTGCAGTTCCTGATAATTTAAACCAAATACGAAATGTAGGAGACCTCAAATCCGGTAGAGTTCAGGTATTATACATCTTTAATTTTCTGTGTTATTTTGTATCATACAATATTTAGTTATATAAGCGTTTTGTAAACACTCTGTTTCAATTTATTACTCATTTTTTATATATAAATTTCTCTAATTTCATTATACTGTTCTACTAGTATCTTTGTGTGTGTTTTTTACAGATAGGAGAAATGCTTTCTGTGATTGGTCAAAACATAAGCCTCGAGGACACCGAGTTATCTCCCGTTGATAGGGCATATCTGTACATGAGAATGCAAAGGAAACTTCAGCTTCAAACGGACGAAAAGAAAAATGCAGTAAGTGTAATCACTAGATCTTAGAACAGTTTCAACTCTCAAAGTTGCATTAAGCTTTCAGGGGCTATTTATAACGCAATACGTGACGTTTATTTCTAAAAAAAGAAGATCGGGGGAAACGAATTGTCCGCTTTACATGCGTCACTTATTTAAATATAGAGAGCGGACCGAAAGATGAGAGGTATATTATTTATGTATTTTACCAACGACAAATTCCATTTCAACCTTAAATTTTATTCTTTTGATTTGGCAATTGTAGAAACGGTTTATCTTAAAATAACATATTTAACCTTCAAAAACGTTGAAGAGTGCGATTTAACATACTAAATTTGTTTGTATAACGGATTTGTCTAGTTTGGAAATTGAAACAGAGACAAGAAAACAATGAGGTACAAACCATTTCGAGCCTGGTCAGACCACGAGGATGTACAGACTGGCCTGTTTCTGCTGACAAAGGCTTATTAGATCTTCTTCTTTTTTTGTTGATAAAGCGGGGCAGAGGTTAAAGGGATATCAGTTTGATTACTCCATCGTCGGATTAATGTCTTTGAAAACTTTATAGGAAATCTAAGACAGACGATCACGAAATCATTCCTTTTATATATTATTTTATCCTATTAAGTGATATAAAATTGTAGTTGACATTAAATCGATATTTAACATTTAAGAAAGTTTTATCATTTTTATTTCTTTATCGTATGAATATTTATTAAACAGGCCAAAGAAGCGGCTAAAATGGCAGTATCATTAGCAAAGAACATACAAGAAAAACTGAAACTTTGTAAAACGTGCAGTAACGAAAACAGTAACAAAACAAAACAACTGGTTAAAAAGGACAATGCGAAATCTATTGAAAATGAGACGATTTCAACTGAAACTTCTAACTTCCGGTTAGATGGTTTGCAAAGCGCAATTGGCACTGATAGCTCGCCTGACGAACCAGTTTCGGTTTCGGTATGCTTATGACTATTTCCCCTTTTTTTAAAATCTTTCATAAAACAAAGACAAAATGTTTTGGGAATGTACGGTATGTTTGCATATTTCAAGTTTAAAAAAGATCATTCTGTTTATGTTTGGAATCATATTGAAAACAAGAACTTAGTGTGTTTTTTTTCCGAAGGCCAGCTACAAGCTTAAAGTTAATTAATAGAGGAAAGCTGCTGCAAAACTGTGTGCATTAATTCCGGGGGAATAACCTTACAACCTGGATGGAATATTTTTTCATTTCAATCTAGTTAGATAGCTTTCTCATAAAAGGGACCAATTCCCCTCATTTGCAGTGGTTAAGAGGAAATATAAACATGGCGATATTAAACTTCATCAGATTAAGCTTTTCAAAATTCAATTCACCTCTTTTTCACTTTAAATTGACAACATACTGAAGAATTATTGACGTATTTATTATTCGCCGAAAGTATCTTTAGTTTCACTCTTTGTTTTCTGATTTATATATGTATTGATGATCTTTTTAAAGGCGTTCGAGTTTCCTGAGAATGTTTACATGTACGATGACGACAGAACATCGAGCTACGTGACGTCAAATATTTTACGTATAGACGCTAAAACACCAAATAAACGCATTACTCCAAGTAACATGACATTCGAACAAAGCGTGATTACACCGGAAGTTAAAACAATAACACCGGAAGTTGACGATGAAGATGCATCTGAATTCATGTATCATCAGTTTATCTACCAAAAGGCTACGGACTATGTCTGCATGATTGTAATGCCTCTTGGTGAATATAACTTCACTAGTTATTTGATGTATTTGAAATACGACGCATCGCCATCAATAATAAACTATGACTTGAAATGGTTGATTTACGAGACTGACAACTGGCAGAGCTGTATACTTCCCGGAGATATGAAAGGGCACTCTGGCATGACATATCTTGCCGTGCACCTGCCAGATAGCAGTAAGTATTGTTCTTGGTTGTATCAATGTCAATGAGTTAAATACTACGCGTTTGCATCATCGATTTGTATTATAACACATGGCCGTTGCCGGAGGAGGGCGATTTTTAAAGAGAAAAAACAACAACAAAAACAAGAGTGTATTTCATTTAAAATTCAATGTCACATTGCAAGTTTTGCAAAATTCCGTAAATTATCTATTTGTTCTAGTTGATTTAATATTTCAGACTATAAAGTAAGATTAACTGTATTCGTAAAATATTATAACACCCTATATTTTTTCTTTAAAAATTCCATATATTCAGATTCGATTTCTAATATTCTAGTATAATTCAGTAAGTTAATCCCTTTTCAACATCAGTAATAATCTCTCACTTTTTTCTTGTAAATCAAATGTTTTAAACTGCTTAACCATTTATAAAATTATGATTTTATTTTCAGAGAAATCAATCGTATATAATTTTACACTAATCACGGTAGGCTGCCTTACATGGGAAGAGAAAGCGTCTAAATGGCATTCCGACAGGTGCTTAGTAAGTGTCATTTATTACTATACATTGTAGCTTGCTAAGTTGTAATTTTAATATAGCTTGCTAAGTTGTAATTTTATTATAGCTTGCTAAGTTGTAATTATAACTTATTGATTTATGAATATCGTCGTGAAGCGATTTCAGCAATCTGATTAGAAATCAGCTCATAGATAATACTACATGTAAACATAAGATCTGGATTCAGTCAGATTGCAAAAGCATCAGATATTATCTACTTTTGGATCAGTAAGAGTCACTAACGAGATATTTTTCAAAAAATTATATCCAACATAATTGCTGTGAAAATTATCGCCACTGCGTCCATTAAAACAGTAGATGTACTTTATAATATTTCCTTTATCATTTATTTATATTTATTTTATTACATTACGTTGAGTTTAATTTAATGTTCTGTCAAAAGGAAAATTTTCGTACGAAAATAATGCTGAATTTGAATTTGTGCATTTGCATGATGATAATTTCATTTTGAAAAAAAATCGTCGGTGATAATTTATAAGATTTATTTCGATAATAAAACTACCGGGCCGTCATTGTATTAAGCTGTTTTTACATTGCGCCCGAGTCACGCATATATAAAACAAAGTGTAGAAACAGCACATGGTCACTAGAATTATTCCGTTTTGCATGACTTATTTTCTCCCATTAATGAATACATGCATGCGCAGTCTCTACGCAAGAATTATCGATAAGGTATATTTTCATTATCTTTTTATAGCTTGACTGGCAACCGCAGGATAACAAAATATCATGTAAATGCAGAGGCGTCACTGACATGGTTTTTGCAAATTCTTTCTTCGTTGCGCCAAATTCTATTGACTTTTCGTCAGTTTTCCTGAAGTTTTCCCCACTGAATCAGGCGGCAGTGATAGGTGCGCTGGGAGGAATATTCGTTATTTACATCATTGTAATACTGTTCTTGATAAGGTTAGACCGACGGGACGGTTTAAAGGTAAGAAATGGCTATTTAACTTAAGAAAACGAAACCATATGTGATACATTGGCCAAATAATCACAGCTTGCTTTGTACCGACTTTGGCGAATAAAACATTTAATATATGAAAATGTATTACATATGTCGATAAACGACGTGATATGTTTTTAATGATTTTAAATATTTTCTTTAGTTCAAAGTAACAAAAACGTAATCAAATGACGACATTAATATTGTTATTGATATAACATCTTGCAAGAGTTAGATATTGATTGAAGTTGTAATTGCATGCAAATATACATTGTAAGTCAGAAAATTTTAATCATATTGTAATCATATTTGCCAGATTTTGCCATTTGTGAAACGCTAATGTTGAATGTTCTATATCCTTAACGTTTGTCTAGAAAGTGGACCGTCTTAGACATTATAAAATTATGAAATATTTTTGTATTTAAGGCAAACCAAGTAAATGCAATCGACAAGGTTTTGTTAAACTAGCCACACCTGTCTTTGTTATAAAACTTATAAAAATGGTAATTGTAAACGGTCATCAAGTCATCACTCCAAATGTGCATTTTGTCAAACCCTTTTTAGCTCACATGTCACAAAGTGACAGGGTGAGCTTTTGTGATCGCTTTTCGTCCGGCGTCCGTCCGTAAACTTTTACTTTAAATGACATCTCCTCATAAACCACTAAGCCAATTTCATCCAAACTTCACAGGGATGTTCCTTTGGTGGTCACCTTTAAAAATTGTTCAAAGAATTTAATTCCATGCAGAACTCTGGTTGCCATGGCAACCGAAAGAAAAAAACTTTAAATATCTTCTTTTAAAAAACCCAAAGAGCTAGAGCTTAGATATTTGGCATGAAACATCTTCTAATGAGTGTCTACCAAGTTTGTTCAAATAAAAGCCTTGGGGTCAAAATTGGCCCCGCCCAAGGGGGTCATTGATTTTCGCTATATGCATATAGTAAAAACTTAAAAAATCTTCTTTGAAAAAACCCAAATAGCTAGAGTTTAGATATTAAGCATGAAACATCTTCTAATGAGTGTCTACAAAGTTTGTTAAAATAAAAGCCCTGGGGTCAAAATTGGCCCCGCCCCGGTGGTCATTGATTTTCCTTATATGTAAATAGCCAAAACTTCAAAAATCTTCTTTGAAAAAACCCAAATAGCTGGAGATAAGATATTAAGCATGAAACATCTTCTAGTGAGTGTCTACAAAGTTTGTTCAAATAAAAGCCCTGGAGTCAAAATTGGCCACGCCCCGGGTGTTATTGATTTTCCTTATATTTGTATAGCAAAAACTCAAAAATCTTCTTTGAAAAAAACCAAATAGCTAGTGTTTAGATATTAAGCATGAAACATCTTCTAGTAATTGTCTACAAAGTTTGTTCAAATAAAAGCCATGGGGTCAAAATTGGCCCCGCCCAAGGGATGTCATTGGTTTTAACTATATGTGTATAGTTAAAACTTAAAAAAATCTTCTTTTAAAAAAACCCAATAAGCTACAGCTTAGATGTTTAGCATGAAACATGTTGTTATGGGTGTCTACCAAGTTTGTTCAAATAAAAGCCCTTTGGTTAAAATTGGCCCTGCCAGGAGGGGCCGAAGGAGGGGGTAGATTTTTGTTTTTCATTATATGTGTGAAGTAAATACTTAACATCGTGAAACATATTCTAATGGATGTCTTCCAAGTTTGTTCAAATAAAAGCCCTGGGGTTTAAACTGGCCCCGCTCCGGGTGCCTTTATACAGGTGAGCGACCTCAGGGCCATCATGGCCCTCTTGTTTAATCTTGTAATATACACTCACAGCTTACGTGTAAAATTAAAATAAAAAAAATCAAATTTAAAACAACAACATATTTCACATATTCAGTTTGCTTTATCAACTAATTTATTAATTAAAAAAAACTTTGACTATGTTAATCAGTTTGGTTCCTGTTACAAAATTAGCCAACACGTTCCTTGTTTGGAGCCTTCTCCCGGTATCATCTATGTTTCCTTATATGACAAGAAAATGCTAGTACCCAGGAGTACGTAAGTGTATGATTCAAGTCAGCCTTATATTTTATCTTATTAAAGCTAAAACAGATATGTTAAAAGTTTAAACTAAACTAAAACATTTTCTCTAATATTTCGTCAGTGGGGTATAACACCATTGAGAGACAATATGATCAGCGATAGGGACTACTATATCATCAAGGTGTACACGGGAATGCGACGAGGGGCGGGAACAACGTCGCGTATTGCATTTGTCCTGACCGGAGAAAATTCGGACACAGGGCCTAGGGAATTGTTTGATGGTTTTAGAAAGGTATGTACTAAAGAAAAACTAAAACGCTATAAACTTAAAGTCCTTTCAAATAGTTTAATTTAATTTACTATGTGGTCAATTAAAGATTATTATACTCAGATATTATATCATAACTATTGAGTATTGACCCGATTAAATCATATAGTTCTGTATGTTTTTATTGATAATTTTCATAATTAAGCTGTATTAACTGTATGTACTCTTTTGCTTTTCTGGTTTTCACGCCGAATTTAACACATATAAGCAATATTTTGGCAGTCGATCCAACTAACCCACTCTTGATTTTGGATATCTGACCACTTATTACCAATTTCTCCGCAAGTGACCTATTCTTCTGAATAAGCGGCGAGAGACAAATGATCACGAGACCCAAAAGGCGAAATCAGCATTGTTAATCAGCAGTTTCATCTTTCCCGAGGATCGAGTCAGCGGTCCACTGATTACTTATCTGAATGTTTCCCTATTTGGCTAAACAAAACAGAAAAAAACACGCCATTATGTACCTATAGCTTGTTGATCCGAAATGACGTTTCTTGCGTTACGTAGGGTACATAAACTAAGTGTGAATACGAGATGGTGTTTATTAAAAAGAATATTGTATTAAGGTGACTTATATTTGGATCACGAAAATTGTTCTTGAAAGATTTAAACTTGGAGCTTCCTAACCTCGCTAGGTTTTAGCCTGACATAATCCTTTGAAGTCAGATTCAAGATTCATGTGGTCAAGATTTTTTAATTATAAGGATATTCCATTCATCAATATTTATAGGAATTTGGCACCGGTAGCGTCATGTCGTATCTGATGGCAACCAAGAAAGGTCTTGGCGAACTCTTACATCTTACCATTTGGCACGATAATAGCGGTGAGGGGGATGATAGTTCTTGGTATCCAAATCAGGTCGTTGTATATGACGTAGCCACCCGTAAAACGTATGTAAAAAATTACCTTTTACCTGTCTATGTTTATTTATTATCTTATGGTAAAGTTAAGTTAGTGTGAGAGAAAAGGTTACTCATCATTGTATAAATTTAATTATTCCAATAGTATGCAGGTGAGAGACCACCTTGCAATAAAGATCACTGTGGTAATGTCCCATTGGTGGTCTTTAAAGAGGGTTTTTCTTGTTTATGATAGATAAAGGCTTTATTGTATTCATATTGTTTATTAACGAGTAAATTATGTTTTATTTCAGGTACACATTTGTCATAGAACGGTGGTTATCCCTTGAGACCACCGTTGACGCACATGTCACTGCTATACCCTCTGAGCGTCCGGTTCAGTTTGAATCCAGGTTTTTCTTTCAGACAAGGGACCGTCTTTCCGAGAGCCATATGTGGGTGTCTATTTTCTACCGTCCACAGATCAGTTCATTTACCAGGGTACAACGAGCATCTTGTGCATTGGTTTATATATTTCTGACTATGATTGCGAATGCCATGTATTTTAACCCTAATCCAGAGTATGAGTCACCGCCCTTGGTTCAAGTCGGACCACTGCGTTTTACTTCACAACAGGTTTGGAGAAGTTTTTATTCCATTCACAGACGTACAATGAGAATAATTAAATCGTTATTTTAGTAATACGCTTTTTATATGTTATACATAAACAAAATTATCATAACTACAAAATACGTCAGGCAATATTATTTCAGTCTGATTACTTGTTCATTTTTTTTTTTGGGGGGGGGGGGGTTGGGTACTTTAAGTTCCTGTCATTCCGGGTAATACAGTATTTATCCTTTCGTTAAATAGAATGACATTCATAGTCTATGTCAACAAAGTTTGAATTTGACCACTGAAATAAATGCATTTACTGTTTGATAATTATATCATGTACAGTTGTAAAACCCGCTAAAAACAGCACCCACTAAATTAAAAGTATAAATTGTGTACTTAAGTTATATTATTTGTTCAACATTTAATTTATCACTTATTCGATATCTATTCGAAGTTTAAAAACCTATTTTTATCATTTAAGAATGTTCTGAAATAGTTGTTTGTATTGAAATTCCTATCGGTTTTGTGCTTATTTTGTTACTTTCTTTGTAAGAAAACACCTTTAAATGAATTTGAATATTAAATATTTTTGTTGCTTAAATCCTTAAATGTTTGCGATGACAATCATTAATAAATGCAAGCAGTTGCACATCCATTCAATATGATGAGTGTTAGTATTTTGATATTGAGTCATTCAGACACGTGAGTCTCTCAAAATTAAGAATATTTACAATACGAAAGTTGTCTCCTACACAATTATTTCGGAAGGAATCGGTTATGTAAAAGTCAGTATAAAATTGTTAAAGTTAATCAAAATATTTTTTATTTCAGATATTCATTTCTATTGTTTGTGCACTAATGACAACACCCGTGATTATGTTACTGATATTCATATTCAAACGAACAAAATGCCGACCGACAACTCCAAGTAAACCGTGTAGTTGTTGCTGTAAATTCGCATGTTGCTGTAAATGCGGATGTTGCTGTTCGACTGCTTGCTGCCGAAGCAAAAAATACCAGGAACAAAAACAGTACGAGGAAATGCTAAAGTTCAGGATGCTGTCCTCTGATGTTCCAGATTTCAGAGGTGGAATTTATCTCCCGTGGTGGTAAGTATTTTTCCCTTAATATCTTTAGAGTTACTAGTGCAGCTTACTAAATAAGGGGCAATCAAAATCTGTCTAAAAGACAATCTGGTTATTTCTCAAATACCTACACTTGCAATGACCATCTCCTTTGCGAATTGTGTTTGACTGTCGCTTATCTTATACCATCAGTTAAACATGTGGTTTCTTTATCAGGTTAGAAATCAAAAATCACGATTGTTTTGCCAAATATACGAACATGTTTGTGTATTCGAGATTTACGTATTATATGTTCTATGGATTGGATACCACATACATCAGTAATGGAACCTCTTTGAATACGTCCCATATCCGATCATGATTAGCTTTAATTAATATAATCTTATACAATCAACAGGTTCATATATGTAGCCTGGTTTTTGGTGTTAGCTGGAACAGCGGTGCCGGCCTTTTTCATTATACTATACAGCATGGAGTGGGGAAAACAGAAGTCAGAGGAATGGTTGACAACGTTTTTCATGTCTCTTTTAGAATCGATGCTTTTTGTTGATCCAATAATGGTAACTATGTCTTTGATTTGTTTTGTTAGTCCCCTACCGGTTTAACCGGAGGGGACTTTAGGTTTACCCTCCGTCCGTCTGTCCGTCTGTCTGTCTGTCCGTCTGTCTGTCCGTCTGTCTGTCTGTCTGTCAGTCTGTCAGTCCGTCAGTCCGTCCGTCCACAAAACTGGATCCCGCGATAAAGCAAAAAGTACTGAAAATATTTTTATGAAACTTGATATATGGATAGATGGCAGTATGGAGATTATGCACGTCTTTTTTTTTCTTCCTATGTTGAAAATTCTGGTTGCTATGGCAACAAATAGTCTGAAAATATGGCAAATTTAACACATAAACTGGATCCAGTGATAACTCAAAAAGTACTGAAAATATTTTTATGAAACTTGAAATATGGGTAGATGGCAGTCTGGAGATTATGCACATCTTTTTCTTTTCTTCCTATGTTGAAAATTCTGGTTGCTATGGCAACAAATAGCCTGAATTTCAAGATTTCTGATTTAAATTTTTCAGCTTTTTCACTATATGTTCTTTATTTCTTAAGGTGTTTACTTCAAACTTTAAATATAAGTTTCTGGTCATCAACCACATCATATGTGACAAGGTTTATAACTCTAGCACAAAAAATATCAGTATTACCTCCCTTGAACTTAGATTTTTTAGGGGAAAAAATGTTGTCTTTTTTAAATAACTTCTTTATTTCCTAATGTATCTACTTCAAACTTCATATATATGTTTCTTATTATCACTCGACATTTTTGAGAAGGTTAAATACTCTAGCAAGACTATTTCCAGAATTATGTCCCCCTTTAACTTAGATTTTTTTTAAATATTAACAAATAGTCTGAAAATATGGCAAATTTAACACATAAACTGGATCCAGTGATAACTCAAAAAGTACTGAAAATATTTTTATGAAACTTGAAATATGGGTAGATGGCAGTCTGGAGATTATGCACATCTTTTTCTTTTCTTCCTATGTTGAAAATTCTGGTTGCTATGGCAACAAATAGCCTGAATTTCAAGATTTCTGATTTAAATTTTTCAGCTTTTTCACTATATGTTCTTTATTTCTTAAGGTGTTTACTTCAAACTTTAAATATAAGTTTCTGGTCATCAACCACATCATATGTGACAAGGTTTATAACTCTAGCACAAAAAATATCAGTATTACCTCCCTTGAACTTAGATTTTTTAGGGGAAAAAATGTTGTCTTTTTTAAATAACTTCTTTATTTCCTAATGTATCTACTTCAAACTTCATATATATGTTTCTTATTATCACTCGACATTTTTGAGAAGGTTAAATACTCTAGCAAGACTATTTCCAGAATTATGTCCCCCTTTAACTTAGATTTTTTTCGAGAAACTGGTATTTTCACTCCAACTTCTTCATTCCTTATAGGATTTACTTTAAAATCCCACATCGTAATAATATGACAAGGTTGTATAAACATAATTTCCTTACTAAGCATGGAAATTAACACATTACTGTGATATAGACAAACTTATTTTATTATGTTTTGTGGTTGATATTTTCAAATACAGACTTCATCCTCAAATTCATTATAAATGGCAATACACAGGAGTGTATGACAATTAAAGAACTTTTTGAGGGACCGGTAGGGGACTACTGTATTGCCCGCAATACTATCAAATGCTTGTTTTCTATGTGATGAGCTTTATTCGGATTTAATTTTTTATCAAAAGACTATGTCAGTAATGTATCAAAGAAAATGTTACACTAGTTAAAGTTTTAGAGTACATTATAGCATATAGCGAGCTGTGTGTCAATAAGTAACAGCTAAACCTGTGACGCATATTCCCCAAAAACATATTTTAACAGTCAGTTTTCTTTTAAAACCCGTTAAAAATTTTTTTTTTTTAAAAAACCCAAAAAAATTTAAAAATTGCACCCATCTTAACCCTAAAATAAAATATAAAACTTTAAATTTTGATAAAAAAACTAGAAAATAAAATGTATTTTTGTACCAAAACTTTAAAAAATTTATAATATTTTGGCTTTTTTAAAACTCAACCTTCAATTTTCCAAATCTTACAAACACGTAGTGCTTCTCCGGATTTGTCATGAATATTTTCAAATGAGGGCAAATACATGTTGATTCCTTTTGCGATCGTGTGCGAGTATCAACGAAGACATTTGAAACACAAATAAAAAAATCCGCCCCCCCCCCAAAAAAAAAAAACTGTAAAAAAACAACAAAAACACTTACTATGATCTCTGTCTGTATGAATTAGCAACAAAATGTTGCTTAGTAATAACGTTTAATCAAATGTTCCAGAAAATAATTATAACATGACATATAAAAGTATGATGCAGTTTCTGTGAGTGCACTGAAAAGATTTGATGTAGATATATGTTTCACAAACTGTACTGTTTTATTTATACAGGTGATCTGTTTAGCTTTTATACTGGCTTTATTGATTCGCAAGAACAAACCTGACTCAAATGTTGATATTGACACAGTGATCAAAATATATCAAGACAGGATGGGACAAAAGGACGAAGACGGCAAGTTTACATATATCCTAACTATGTTAACGTCGTTTGAGAACACAAAGATATTTTTATCAATTTAAAGGCTTAAACATGATTAATAAATAAAAATATAAAAAAAGTTCACGTCACTGGATTAAATATACATATCGATAGTTTTTGCTTTTGTTTAAAACGAATTCAATTGCTATCCCTTTATTATATACATTTTAATTTAGATATGCATTTTTTTGCTACCACAGCAGCGTACACTGTCATATTTTTGTCGTTTTGATTAATTGTTTCATATTGTTTTCCAAAGCAAATAATCTGTACCGAGATATTGTAATATTTTTAAACTGATTCATAGAACCAATGGCAGGTTTTGTGTGCATATTTATTTCTGAAATTTTCAATAAATATCCATAGTTCAGTGATACTGGTATTTAACTATTTGTGTTGCTTTTAAAAGGATGACTCTTACATTTCTCGAAGAAATTTGATTAATATATTAATTTAATATATAATTGTAGATCCCTTCTCCTCTAGTATCAAAGTTTTGAAATCATTACGAGATGAGCAACACTCCTATATGAGTAAGTTTTCTTAAATAACATTACATATTATTTTTCAGCATTTTTATTTCTTATTAGCTATTTTTGTGTCCATGTGTTGATTTCAGCTTTGTGATTACTCAAAAAAGTTGTTATAATGTTTATAAGTTAGTTTGCAGATTTGTGTAATGACTAAAACACCCGTGTTTAATAGTATGTTCCCGCATGATTGTATGTTGAATATCGTGTAAATCGTTTCCATTGCATGAAAGTAATGCGTAATTGAAGGTCAAAAGTCTTTGGTCTGAGACTGAGAATCAAACTTTAAAATATATTGTTGCAACATGTCATAACATAGGACAATCAGCATTTAGCGCATATATCGAAAGTTTTTTGTTTTAACATAAAAGCAAAGTACAAAAAATTTTCACAAGCAAACTCCCGAATTTAATAAGTTTTTTTTCTCTTTGATTTCAAACCCCAACTGTTAACCCCCCGCCCCCCAAGGATTCACCTTAAAGAGGCAGCAAAACAGCACAAGCAACACGAAGCGATGGTGCGAACAATAAAGGACACACTTGCAAACCTGTTTTTCATGTTGATTATTTCCATTATATGTTTCGCCAACAGAGACAATCGGTCATTTCAACATTATACACGGACTGTTAACACAATAGTGGAGCCTTTTAAACTTCCTTATTTCAAATCAGTAAGATATTTTTATTATTGATTTTTTCTTTTAATTGATAAATTAATTTTCGTTTTTCTTTTAGTATGGATTTGGAAGATGTAATGTTTGTCTCAAATTCGTTGATTTGATATTTAAATCATGTTGTCCTAAGTGGCACATACTTGTAGCAGATATTTATTTAATGATGATTTTTTTATTATATATTTTCATTAATTGTGACAAAATCTTAGCTTTTTGTCCTTTTGCATTTGTGTTAATTAGATTATGTTGTAGACCATCTGTAGTCATGCATCGTTTAGTTTATTGACTCTTGTTTTATCATTTATATTTTGTAATATTCAATATAAAGTCATACCTAAGCAAAAACTTAGATATGTTAAACGTGCCATGTACATAACTCACACTTTCAATATTCATTTGAAAGATAATAAGACCAGGAGATGTATTTACCTGGTTAAAGTCTTCTGCAATTCCTTCCCTCTTTCCCGAATACAACATAATTGGCGAACCGCTTCACTGGACGGAGAAACAGTTTACTACAGGACTCAATGATCTTCGTCTAGGACCACCTAGATTGCGCCAGGTTCGAACTACAAACGGTAAGCAAAATGTTTCTCAAGTAAATAATTTGATTGAATTTAAAGTGTAGATTCAGTATTGTAAGTATTGTATTTTGAAGTAACCGACCATCAAGAAAACCTTAAGATTTAATTAAAACAATGCTAACTTTGTGTTCATCAGAATACAATCATATGTATGTTTTCTTTTATTCAAACTTTTACAAGTTGTTAGATAATCATCTCATTACATAGTTACATGTAACAATAGTGCAATAATTCACACATATCAAATTGTATGTCCACCAGGGTCCTGCGATTTGCCATACATCGGCAAGGTTGTGTGCTATGGAAAGTACTCAATTACAGGCGAGGATGAGGATAACTATTGTTTGGGATGGCAGTCTCAGCCTTGTCCGAAAGCGGATTATGTTTACAACGTTTCAACAGATGCGTGGAATTTTCAGTCAGGTATTCAGGTGTAATGGGCAAAATATTAGCTATCAAAGACAAATTATTTTAAAAAAAACAAGTGCAACGCTATATTCTCCCACTTTGTGGGGGCATAAAAAACTATGCATAATTACTGTATACTTTGTTAAAATCTTAAAGGAAGCGAAAAATTATACGAATTATTTTGAAATAAATAATAAAGTACATGCATTCATGACTCCAAACAATACATTTGCCTTTAGCTATAAACTAAAAGGATACTTTCAGAGGGCGTATATGATGGTTTTTATTTACAACTGGCGTCATATGGATAATTAAGCCGAGCCTACAATAGTTTCCAGTTGTGCTGAGTTTACTTTATTGCAATTATTAAATAGAATAGAGCAATGACTGCTTAGCACTAATGATTAGACTAATATTGAGTGTATATAGGTCACATCAACGATAGTACATTGTCTATATGGTAACTTATGTGGTAATGTTTGTGTCTTTTACAGCATTTGATATTTGGGGACTGCCTATACCTGGACTGTACACAACCTATGGTGGTGGAGGATTTATCGCAACACTAGATGTTGGTCGTAGCAATTCATTAGCTATAGTGGATGAACTATTTAGAAACTTATGGATTGACCGTCAGACAAGAGCAGTAATGTTTGAATTCACCTTGTATAACGGTGCTACAAATATATTTATTTACCATGTGTTTCTAATAGAATTTCCTGAGACAGGAGGTGCGTTCACATCGTTTTCTGTATATCCATTACGAGTATACACCCACTTAGGAGCCATTGGAACACTCACCATCATATGTGAAATAATTTTTGTGATTTATTTGATCGTTTTACTGGTCAAGATATGCGTAAGGATTTATCAACAAAGATGCGGCTACTTCAATCTGTTCTGGCAAAACTTTGAGATAACCATGTTTATAACTGGAACAGCAAGTATTGTAATATATGTATTCCGACTTTTGATGACACACAGTACAATCGACAAGTTTAAGGCGGACAAAAGACTTTTCGTAGATTTTAGTCACATAGTGCTGTGGGATCAAATACTTGTATCACTGCTGGCAATTTTAGTTTTTATGGCAACATTGAGGTTGTTAGAGGTATTTGCAACATCAAAGAAAGTCAGTGCTGTTGTGTATGTATTTAAAGACTGCGGCAAAGATCTGTTCTGGTATGGGATGACATTCTTGTACATTTTCATGGCATTTTGTTTTCTTGGAATGCTATTATTTGGGTCTCAGCTGGAGTCGTACAAGAGCATGTATCAGTGTATGGGCACATTGTTTATTGCCATGATCGGGAAGAGTAAGTTTACTGAGATTAATGAAACGCAGCCAATTTTGGCGAAAGTTTTCTTCATTTTCTACATTCTTACCATTGTCTTTTTCATTTTGACTATATTCTTGGCTATTCTTGGGGCAAGCATTGACACTGTTGTGCAAGGTGATCGCGGGGACAAAAATGAAGATATCATTGAGATAATGATGAAGAGATTTAAGTTACTTATTGCCAAGCCCTCATCTAAGCAAAAAACGCACACGAAAGTTAAAAAACATAACAAAGTGGTAAGCAGTGAATAAAGAATGGGGCAGCAAAGATTAACTGTCCAAGCCTTCTTCATAGCAAAGCTCGCACATGAAATGTACAATCATAATAAACTCTAAAGCAATCAATGAAGACTTTGAAGCGAGTTTATATCAAGACATTTTACTTACTCAGGTACCTTCGTAGTTTTGAAATCAGCATTTAAATAGCCCATACCATCAAATGTGCTTTGCGAGCGTAATGTCCCTTTGAAAAAATGTTCGCGTCTCATTATTATATGGAAAGTCTATTATCGTTTATATAAGCTGTCTTGCATGGTATGCGTTTGTAATACAGACCGTACACATATTTTAAAGACTCTGCTTCAGAAACGGTATTATTAAATTTAAAGGTTTAGAATATGTATTATTTTCATTCTGAGTCTTACATCGTAAATAGACATATTAAACGTACGTAATATGTTTTTGAATAACTTACATCAAGAAAATCCTACAGACAGAAATGTTATTTCAGGATATAGACTATATTCACACAATTTAAATATTGAATCTGGTCGCCGATGTAATACTAAGCAAATCGTCTGTTTTGCTTAATTTTTAAATTTTAAAGGATAAAGAGGGTGAATGTCTATTTGCACAAAACCGGAAGAAAATTTATTCTAAGATTTTATCATTTTTCTTATATTAGATTTAAATTATTAGAACTGATTCTCTTAGAGTACAGGAAATTATCTTTTAAATATATTGTATAATTATAAAGTAATATAGATTGAGAACTGATAATTTAAATAAATGTTGGTTTCATTTTGCTTTGTCTTATTGTAAAAATATGTTTGCCGATGTTAAATCTTGTGTTCCAATTTATATACTTTTTAATTTTGATTTTATAATTAATTTTGTTTCATAAATATTTTGATATGATGATGAGCCGTACGTATTCTTAAATCTTAGATAAATTTCTGTTCTGTTCTTTTTATTGTACAACTACTACATTGATAATTTTGCTGTGAGAGTGTTCTCATTACTTTTACGTTTAAATTGAAGTTGAATAATTTAAAAGTGATCTGTTATTGCTGTTAAAATAAATGTTTACATCAACTTTTCACTTAATAATATTTGTTTTTATACCCAGTTTTTGGAAATGGTATTGCATTCTATACTTTGCGACACAGATACGGATATTGCACATTATTATGCCAGACGTATTTTTATTATTGAGAAAAAAAACCGATTTAAAATGACAACAGAAAGCAGGGATGCGAATTCTGTATGTGTTATACTGTTCCTACAATGAGATGTGCAATCCAGCTATCTTACGGAAGATCGGTGTTCTTCTCAGAAGCCCGTTTATGCCTAAGTAATGGGCGAAAATGAATCCGAGGTATTGCTCAATCAGTAAAACTGGAATGACCATAACATCATTTTACGACTTTAAACCTGAAATGTACAGAAATGAAGGTCGTTTTTCATTTATCGCTCTATGTATTGCTAATATTCCTTGTCGGTAATTTTAAACATTTTAACTTAAATACTGCCAAAATGGATCAATGTTTTCAAGCCCTTACGACTACAGTGACTATTTACGATAATACATTTTGGGTAATTGCATTTAAATTTTTTGTTTGAAGCATAGTTAGAAGTATCAAGTTTATAAAATGTGTATTTATCTTAACGCTATGGTCTTACTGGTTTACTCAACTTGTTAAGTAACCTCGTTAAGTGGCGATTAATCGAGTGGTTAAACCTCACGATCACTTTCCGCGTATGTTCAAATCCCGTTAAGGGCGAGTAGTTCTTTGCTTGAGCAAGAAACATTACACTCATTAATAAGTAATGGTAAGTTTAGTCCCAGGAACACATTCAAGGGTGTGTCTATAAGCTTTTAGCTTCCAACGCAACCAATTTAAAAGAAATTCTGTATAAACCAAGTTATCATCAATGTGTCTACCGAAATCAGTTTCCTTGATAAGCTTGTAATTTTCACAGAAGCTGTTATGCAAGTTTTGTTTGCTATTAACGTTGTCAGGGAAAATACAACAACATAGTACAAAATTAGTGTATTAGTTTATTTGCAAGTGAAATGAGCTATAAACAAACCAATTAACATTTGTACTTCGTGCTCATGCACGTACACATGTAGTTAAGGTAAATCGACATTCGATGTAATAATTGTATTCTTAATACTAAAAAGTGAAAAAGAAAAGGAAAAACATATAAAATAAACAGCCGATTGTAAGAACACGTATTATTTGAAAGTTACGTGAAAATCGAACAACGCTAAAGTGACGTGATTCATTTTGTTCCTACTTAATGTGTCAAGCATTATGTACACCAAACATAGAGTTATCAAAGCAAAAAATGCAAACAAGAATACGACTTAGCAACAGATGAGTTCAATTTAAATATTGATTGTTAAATCAAAAGAGACCTTAAATGATAAATGTACATTATGTACACCAAACATAGAGTTATCAAAGCAAAAATGCAAACAAGAATACGATGAGTTCCATTTAAATATTGATTGTTAAATCAAAAGAGACCTTAAATGATAAATGTACAGGTCAATGTCGCCATGACTTTAGTATTTGCTGTAATTCCATTTTATTTTATAGTTCGGTTACAGCAAGTCCTTTAACAATTCACCGGGATGTATTGTAAACGTTCAATTGATTTACAGTATGGGACAGTGATATTTTAGTCGGTTGTTATATTATATCTTAAACATTTCCATTTCATGACAATTGCAATAGTAAACCTTTTTCGACTTATTATGATAAGTGGATGTAGCTCAGTTTGACAACGATATATTGAGCATAATGTCACTTTAATTAAGATGTGAATTTGTTTTTGAAATAAATAAAAGTTATACTTAAATGGGTAATACAATGTATTACAATGAATTAGCAATTGAAAGTATCAATTTAGTCAAAGGTGTTAAATAGTGAACTTAATTAGTGCAATTATCAAAAAAAATAAAATTAATGATATTATGGTTAAAGTTCAAAATGTTAGTATTACAAACAAAACAATGCAAGAGTAAACACTGCAAAATAGAAAGAGAAAAACGTCAATGTCAAAAAGATAATTGGCTTTAACCATACTGTCCAATTATAAATTGATTCTAGTTTAAATTCAAATCTGATTTTAAACTGAAGTTTAACAGATGTCACACTCATTAAAGAAGTGAAGCCTGTCCCAAACTAAGCTTTAATCTGAGGTAAATACATAAAACTGTAATGGCATACATCCTAGTGTAGTTTAAGTAAAACATTAACGTGTAGTTAAGCATAACAAGAAAAAAAGTAGTCTTTAGGTTATTCATCACATTACGCATGCGATATTTTACACAATGAGAGATAAACTTATGTAAGTTAGTCATGTTTTGTAAGCAGTACACATTCCAACTTAAGAATGGCTATTAAAGTCTCGTTTCACTTAGAAGCAAATGATGCAATCGGACCCTGAAACCCCTTCGCCAAAAATCATTTTCGAAAATGTTAAGACGCTTAGAAATGGCAAAATTACCATTACGTTTTTCGCCAAATTTGGATATTCACCGGTTAACAAAGCTGATACAAATTCAGTTAAAAAGTTTCTGGCATAAACTCTTTCACTTTTATCTTTTATGCGAAGATATACCTTGACTAACTTCTTCAATAGTAAAATCTTCATATATTATCAATATCAATATTAATATAATAACAAATTACATTTTTTAACATTATCACTCATATAAATATATATTTTGTAACTTCTTCCTTTGAAATATATGATGCAATAACTAGCTCTATCATCAAAGAGTGTCAAAACAACCCAGGTACAAAGATCATCACGGCCTCCAGGGAGGTTTCACTTTCGGTTGGAACCGAGGCTTGAACTGTGTTTTACTTCGCTTTATAACAGGTGGTAATATTATATCCTCTTCTGACATCTGACTTATAACGTCATCATCTTCCAGGGTTGGTGTTACCGTGTGTAGAGATGCAATGTCTTCAATATTTTCCTCATCTTTAACAGGAAAAGAAATTGTTCATTAATTTCAAGTTTTGATAAACAAATGTCCCAAAAGTATTTTTCTTTCTAGAGGTCTATCAATAATGACAATCGGTAATGTCAGTCTGGATATATAAATTTACAGAAAACCTAGGAAAGTGCAGTTACAATAAACATTACTGCGTAAAACTACGAAAAACGTTTAACAATCATGAAGAATCCGTGTTCACAACATTACAATATAATTCAAATCTATTTTGCTGAATTTTAGAAAATAAATATTTATTATCAATTCCAAATGGAAGATCTGTAAGCATCATTTTGTTAAATACTGTGTGTATATCTGAAAAAGGTGAGCTGCTTGAAAGCAAATCAAGAGCCTTGAAAATGTAAAACTAAACCTTCAAAAAAGGCTATAATTTTCACAAAATCCATTCAAGGGACAGTGCTCTCCTATTATATTCTTAATAATATGTTTGAGATTACAATCCATTCCCTTTAGTAGTTTCGGGGAAACCAACTTGCAGATACCTGGTTGAGTACAATAGCTCTCTCTATGTAATTAAACAATAAATTAAAAACAAAAACAACTTGATAATTAAGTTGGACAACAAATACATGTTTAAAGGAAGTTATTGATAGATTATCGGAAGTGAAAATTGAAAACTATTGGCCTTTTAGTACTTAACGATATATCATATCAATCATTACGTCTAAATATTTAGTTTAAACTCTATCATCAATGATGAATTACCTTGTTCTGGCGGAGCGGGTGTCGGATGGTCTTCCTGCAATGTTGTTTGTCGTGTTGGTCTGATGAATAGTGACTTAAAAGTTGTCATAAGATGTTCCACTAAATCTTCTCTGGGATCCTTTCGAGAATCATGTATGGCAATATCTATACTCGCGCCAAGTATAGACAGGAAGATTGACAAAACAAAGAACCCCACTGTTATGATATAAAACGAGAAAAACAGCTTTGCCAAAATGGGCTCTGTGTCATCGATTTCTGTAAACTTGCTTTTTCCAATCAATGCAACAAATAAAGTTCCCATTGTGTTGTAAAAATCCTTGTAGGAAGTGAGTTTGGATCCAAACAATACTAGACCTAACATACAAAAGGCAATAAAAAAGTGTATAAAGGCCAAACTGTACCAAAATAGGTCTTTACCGCAATCATGAAACACTTGTATCACAGCATTGATCTTTTTTGAGCTTGCAAACACTTCCAACATTCTCAGTGTCGACATAAATACAAGAATTGCCAGCGCTGTTACTAACATCTGGTCCCACATAATGATATGGCCGAAATTAACAAACGACTTTTTGTCCTCGTTAAATTTGTTAATCGTACTGAAAGCAAAGCTTAATCTTAGGGCAAAAAATACAACAATCACTATTCCAATCAGCAACATGACCAGTTCATAAACATGCCAAAAATCTTTGAAAAATTTCAAACGTTTCTGATATACCCTCACAGATATTTTAACGAATATGGCAATAAGATATATGACAAAAATGATCTCACACAATAACGTATATGTACCAATGGCACCATGGTGAGTGTAAACGCGAACTGGGTAGATAGAGTATGTAGTTATGACTCCACCAGTTTCTAAAAACTCAGTTAGGAATATGTTGTAGATAAACATATTTGTTACTGCATTATACAGGGTGAATTCAAATATAACGGCCCTTGTTTTCCTGTCCATCCATACGCTTCTGAATAATTCGTTTAACATTTCAATAGAAATGTTTCGACTAACGTCAAATGTAGCAATGTAGCCACCTCCACTGTAAGTTGAATGCATTCCAGGTGTAGGCAGACCCCATATATCTAAGCCTGAAAAATATGGTAATAAAAATGTGTCTTTTGGAAAAAAGGTTAACAGATCGAACACTATTTGGAAAATAAATCAAGTTTCGGAAATTAAACAAAGAATTATGAAATATCAAACGAATATTTTTATAAAATGTTGATTTTCCCTGTAAATGATGTTTCAGACTAGCTTATATTGTTATTTATAAACTTGTAATATGAAACCTATTATGGCAAGGGTGAGGGTATGGATGTGTGTTTACGGTGATATATAAACTGGTAAGATCGTCATCAATACATAATTATTCATTGTATTAAATAAAAATGTTTTCATATGATACCTAAAATCACCAGAAATTTTCAGATGTGAAATGCAAAAGCACGTTTCAAACACATCGTTATTTTGTAAATTTCATTGAAAACTAATGTGCTCCGTGTTTATCTACCTGATGTGTACTTCCAAGCGTCAGCAGATGAATTGAAAACAGCCTGAAACTCAGGGCAGGGTGGATTTGACCAACCTATACAAAAGTCTCGTTCCTCATCATCTAGTACCTTATACTTCCCATAACAACTTGCTCGTCCAATATAAGGTATCACACACGTTTCTGTACAAACACAATTTAACTTAGACATAGCAAATATTGCAATAATGCATTTTAATTTAGAATAAATCAAATGGCATATATGAAGCACAACACATGAGATTGTTTTGTTTTGTAAGTATTATAAATCGCACGGGGTTAAGGTATCTAAGTTATTAATAATAATTATTTTTCGTCTGAAACGATAAACGAGTAAAATAATGCAAAGAGCAAAGATACATTAACTGCGACCTGTATTTCCCTATTTAGTTATCTGTTTACTTTACTAGCATATTAATAGAAATGAGCAATTACTGGATAGTTAGCTAAAGTTAACAGAATCACTGCACAAATGATGTTAATAATATCAACAAAACGAACGAAGAGGTTGATATTTCAAATAAATCTTAAAACGTTTCCATCTTCTATTTAACGATAGTAACGTACTTTTCTTCGTTCTTAACTGTCGAAGCCTCGGCGGTCCTAGTCTAAGATTGTTATATCCAGTTGTAAATTGACGAACTGTCCAATGTAATGGTGCACCATTCATGTCGTATTCTGGGAATATACTCGGTATCACAGAAATATTCAACCAATTATACAAATCGCCAGCTTTCTTGATCTGCAAATGATATTAGCAATTAAATTAGGAAATATCTTAGCAAAATTGTTTCAATAATAATCAAGTCTTGAACGAAAAAGGCTTTGAGAAATAATTGAAGACCGACAATAAAATACACTTTATCAACTATATGGTTAAATAAAAAAATATAATAAAAGTCGTCATAACGCAAAAGCTGCATATATTTGAGGGAAATGTGCAACGAAAAAACGCGATAAAAAGCTAGATAAAACAGTGTGAAGTAGGATTATAAAAGTTACAAACAAACACAAACGAATTCGGTGTGTCATGTCCTTATGATTCGAAAAAGATTTCTTTCACAAAAGTAATAAAGTAATAAAACTGCTGAAAAAATCTTGTAAATCTGCCACTGTTAAAAATGAAAGAAACAAGAATAGTAACAATTAAACTGTCGAAAATAATAGATGTATTAACAAGAGTATGCGATCATACAAAATAATACACTTGCATATTTATTCTCTTGTTTTAGCAAACTAAACAATAATGTCCACTGATTTCCCTTCCATTTCTTAGATTTAACAGTATGGAAGCCGTAATACTATTACAATTGCATTATGGTTACCTACGACAGTCATTAGAATAAGTGTTTGTAACTATACCAAAAAATATGTTTTCAACTTACGTCGTTGAACTGTGGCAATTTCCAAGGCTCTACAATTGCATTGACTATCTCCTTGTGATGAAAGTACGAATTGCCGTCTCTGTTTGCGTAGGCAATACTAAAGAGGATAATGATCAGCAACATATTCAGAACAATGTCCTTTGCAAATGAGGTCATCACAATTTTACGCCGACGACTTTCCGCAGCAGCAAGGCAATGTGTACGGCGTCCCTGAAGAGTGGTGATGTAAAAACGAGCAGCTGATGATCCTCCTTGAAATTGAAGAAGTGGTTGCTTTTCTTTTTCAATTTTAAGGCATGAATATAATTAAAGGTTAGTGAATACTTATATGTATGGAACAGACCTGATCTTGAACACTGACAAAATTTATATTATTTTCAACTAAGTAAGTAATGAAAGGTATATGACAGGGTTGGCCCAAAAAGAAGTGAGGTTTAACATCTTTTTAAACTAAGATAAAATGCTTGTTTAATAATAAAGTATTGTCTTTGTTTTAGATTAAATAAAAACTGTCCATTTACTATGTTCTTTTTCACCAAGTTTTGTTACTCGATCGTTCGCTAGCCAAGATGAATATAGTCAAATTTGACTCTTGCGCTTCAATTTACACCAACATCTCATTTATATATTAATATGATAACATGAAATGAGATGGTCTGAGACAAAATACATACATGTATATACAATGTCTCGTACGGACATGTTTAATGAAATACTTTTGGTCATTCTTGCACATGTTTTCAACGCAATGAAGCATATAACAAGAAGCACAAAGCTGTTAAAACCACAATTTCATTTTTTCAGACAGATACAATTTAAATCATGTTGTTTGATGACTTTATATATAGACATTAGGCAGTGTGACATGTATGCTATTTGGCAAGCTTCATAAAATTAAATACAAAATATTTTTAGTGTTATTAAAACAACTGCAAATTCCAATACTGACGGACCAACACTGGCTGCTTTAATGACGAACTTCAAGATGTAAAATAATAATAATAGAAAACCAAGAAAAATGTTTGCAAACGTTAAAAACGATGCGTCGATTCTTAAAAAGGATTGACCAATCTTTAACATTTACAACAGTTTTGGTATGGCTGAAATGTCAAAAGTTTTAAACAGGTCATATTCGCATCTAGACCCTTACTGGTGACTGTTATAATGTGTCAAAGAAGAGCACTTTACCTTCAGCTGTAAAAATGTTTCAAATCTGCACACTTCGTTTTAAAAACCTCTTAAATTGATTCAAACCAGTTTCAAACAAGAACTGTTAAGCTGATTTTGACAAATTGTACTAAAAATTTTTTATTTTTTATTTATTTTTTGTTTGTTGCCTTCTCTACATGTACATTAGTTATACCTATACTCTTTTCAATCTAGTGATGTTCTTGGCACAGCTTGCTTACTCTTTTCGGTCTAAAAGTCTTTATTATTCATGGCCTTAATAGCCACATGTCTTGACATGTGCAGTACAAAAATATGGTGTCTCCCATCACAGGTTGCACAAACATTACGTCACACCGGTATACAAAAATGAAATGCTAAAGCCGTATTAAGCTCTGCTAAATAATCTTCTAAGTGATACTCACTTTCTAGTAGCTCAAAGTCAGTTTTCACTGATTGTAGGACTTGTATGGTTAATCGTAACTCATCTAAAGAAAAAAAAACGTAAGTATATCTTCAATCCTGACACAAATTGAAAGTAAAGTGACTGTTTTTTGTCAGTGTCAGATAACAAAGTTTATTCCTGATAAGGCTAAATAGTTTACATCCGATAAAACTGTGCATGCCACATAGAACACTTGATATCAGATACTATGTAGTATAGTCCATGCTCGTAGAACAATTCATATCAGAAATGAATAGATTATTTCTTATAGTTAAAACAGTTCACACATAAATACATATTTAGAAAGTTGATATCTGATATTGTAGACTTTTTCAGATATAATAGATTGTGGCTGATATAACAAAGCAAATCTGATGGAATTCTTCATTTAAACATGAAACAAGATTGCATTTGAGAAAAATGCTATGCCACCGCATTAATACAACACTAAATAGTGGTGTAGGAATAGATTTTTTTTGTTTCTTTACAATTGAAGATTGTCATAATGCATAGATCCCTGACCTATCTAATTCTTATTATCAGATTAGTGGTTAAATATATTGTTATTCCAATAAAAGATCAGAGTAGGAATATACCAATGCACTTGAGTCTAGTGAATTCGGTGGTGAAGGTCATATTTCACACAGCTTAAATTTCACGACTACATCAAAGGACAACACAGAAAGACACTTTGTCAAAATCTAGGTCAGCTGATATCAAAGTTCACTTTACATCTTAATCTGTGCACATGGTTTCATAGCTGTACATCAAAGGACAAGAAAGTAGGTCACATCATCAAAATCTAGGTCACCTGATATCAAAGTTCAATTTTACAACTAAAACTGTGCACATGGTCAAAATTTCATAGCTGTACATCAAAGGACAAGAAAGTAGGTCACTGTCCCCTTGGGGCAAGGCCAAGGGTTTCATTCAAAACAATCTTGATACAGGTCCACCAAACAACATTTTAAGTCAAATATCTAAGCTGTAGCTTTCTTCCCATTTTTACTATATACATTTAAGGAAAACCTATGGCCCCCAGGGCAGGGCAATTTTGACACTAGAGGCAAAATTTGAACAACTTTGGTAGAGTACCTTTAGATGATATCATTTAACAAAATTTAATATTAAAGCTCTAAGCCTTGTACCTTCAGACAATAAGATTTTTTTATTTTTTACTATATGTATATATTGAAAATCAATGACCCCCAGGGCAGGGGCAATTTTGACCCCAGGGCTATAATTTGAACAATCTTGCTAGAGATTCTCTTCACAATGTTCATGCAAAATATCTAACCTCTAGCATTTGTCAATTGCTAGAAGAATTTTTTTTAAAGTTTTTACTATAAGTTTTTACTCTATACATATAAGGAAAACCAATGACCCCCGGGGCGGGGCCGTTTTTGACCCCAGGGCTATAATTTGAACAATCTGGGTAGAGGTCTACCAGACAATGCCTTATGCAAAATATCTAAGCTCTAGGCCTTTTGGGTCTTTACAAGAAGATATTTTAAGTTTTTACTATATGTACATATAGTGAAAATCAATGACCCCCGGGCGGGGCCAATTTTGACCCCAGGGCTATAATTTGAACAATCTTGCTAGAGATTCACTTCACAATGTTCATGCAAAATATCTAACCTCTAGCATTTGTCAATTGCTAGAAAAAGTTTTTTTTTAAGTTTTTACTATAAGTTTTTACTCTATACATATAAGGAAAACCAATGACCCCCGGGGCGGGGCCGTTTTTGTCCCCAGGGCTATAATTTGAACAATCTGGGTACAGGTCTACCAGACAATGCCTTATGCAAAATATCTAAGCTCTAGGCCTTTTGAGTCTTTACAAGAAGGTATTTTAAAAGTTTTTACTATATGTACGTATAGTGAAAATCAATGACCCCCGGGGCGGGGCCAATTTTGACCCCAAGGCTATAATTTGAACAATCTTGGTAAGGGTCTACCAGACAATGCCTTATGCAAAATATCTAAGCTCTAGGCCTTTTGGGTCTTTACAAGAAGGTATTTTAAGTTTTTACTATATGTACATATAGTGAAAAACAATGACCCCAGGGCGGGGCCAATTTTGACCCCAAAGCTATAATTTGAACAATCTTAGTAGAGGTCTACCAGACAATGCCTTATGCAAAATATCTAAGCTCTAGGCTTTTTGGGTCTTTACAAGAAGATTTTTTAAATTTATTCTTACAATTTCTTTTGGTTGCCATGGCAACCAGATTTCTGCATGGAATGAAATTCTTTGAACAACTTTGGAAGTCCTTCACCCAAGGATCAATCCTGCCAAGTTTGGTTGAAATTGGACAAGTGGTTTTTCACAAGAAGATTTTTTAAGTTCACTATATAATCTATATAACACACAAACAAACAAACACACACACAGGTGAATCGCTATATGCCACCGCATCGCAGATGCTGCGGTGGCATAAAAAGACATATTTAATTTAACGTATTTAGGTACAAACATACCATTCTCATACAATCCTTTCATTTGCTTGTAACGTTCAACAATGTGCTGCATATCAATATTCTTGTCCACGTCATTTGTTCGTAGCAACAAACTTAGTACAAGCACTATACAAATAACCTTCAAATGAATAGACACACTTTTAGTAGTTAAATATATTACTAGTTCAAAACGTGTATAAAAGGCATGCACCAAAACATTATTCTAACAGTATTAGATATTTATCTATCATTATAACAAAGAAACATCGGAAGCATGCGTTACATCAAACCAGTAGGCTCGCTGTTAATATCCTTTTAAAATCCGTTTCTTATGATAAATTGTGAACGTGGCGACAAAACTGACACGTTTAAGACAAATGATCTATGCTGATCTTGATGCTAACAACACTTATTTTATATTAGTAGATACAAAAAAGATTGCACAAGCTTATGATATTAACAAAACTTGGAGTTTTGTCTTAATGTATCATATTTACCAGGATAGGGTCGACAAACAAAACTGATTCGAAGATAGACATGAAAAATGTCGTTAGCCACTCCTCCGACTTTTGTTTTCCCCATTCAATACTGTACAAGACAATGAAGAACGCAGACACGGCGACAGCACCCAATACTAACAGCCATCCAATGAAAACAAACCTATAAAATACGCAAGACTTGATAAATATTTTCGAGGGATCACTTCGTTTCCAGATCTTTGTACTTTAACACGGCGGGTGTCAAGTGCTGTGTGGCAGCTGTAAAAGTTGCCCCGCGTATTTCACTTCAGTGTTGTTATATTTTTATGGTCCTTCGGGATCATCGATGCCAGCACTATTAAATGTTGAGAATTGAGTACCGCTCAAGCCAGTGTTAGGGGCAAAAGGGGTGTTGCACTTTTTCATTATCCCTCATGCACTGACTCAATTAAACAGAGTCTGCCATTTTCATGTAATTTTGATGTGATTAATGCTTCCGAGGGGTCACTTTGTTTCCAGATCTTGTTAATAATATTACATCGTTTACGATATAAATTGTAGGTAGAAATTTGGCCAGTGTAGTTACACTGCATATACATCAAAAAACCATGAAGGGCCTCTTAACGTAAACTATTTTGCCAGAATATTTGTGTCCCACTAACTGTTTACCCTTTTTTGGCCTAACAAAGGTTCAATAAGTGTGTATTAAGTCAATAAAATTTAACCGCTACAAGGCCAATTCTGTAAATTACCTAGGACTTGAATCGAATATTATTTGCAAAGTCCAACTTCTTCCCTATCAGAAACTCGTGATAGTTAATTTAAAGAGCAGCAATAAATAATCGTTAGACAAAGGGAATTTGTAAAGTGTCCCTACCAAAACGGGAAAACCATTCCTCCCTTTAGTTCCGGTGTCTCAGATGTAAGCTGTATTTCTCTAAGCTTGTCTTCGTAAGTATCAGATCGTTGTTTCTGGCAACATTTGCCACTCTTATTTTTAAGGCCGTTTTCTTTACACTTTCTTCTCTTCGTGTGTTGGAAGATGTATACGATTAACATAATTGGGGGCGTGGTTATAAGCGCACAAATTATAGATATGAATATCTGCAAATAGACACATCAATTGATTTTTTCTCAGCGCCAATACACGAGACATAAAATTCAATATGTGCATGAAAAAACTAATATAATTGAAAAATACAGCACTTAACATGTTTAATGTGTATTTTAATGATTTAAAAGCAAATTGGCATTTTAAAGAAAATGCTTATTAGACTGACAAAAAGTTTTTTGTTTGTTTTGGGTTTTACGTCACATCGACACAGTATAGGTCATATCGCGACGTTCCAGCTTTACTGGTGGAGGAAGACCTCAGGTGCCCTTCCGTGCATTATTTCAGACACGAACAGGTACGTGAGAAGTACCACCGACGCTCCGTAAGCTAGCTGGATAGCTTCCTCACATTAAAGAATCCAAAGTCCCTGTCGGGATTCGAACCCACAGCGGTGAGGGGCAAGTGGTTTGAAGTCAACGACCTTAACCACTCGGCCACGGACGCCCCCTGACAAAAAGTAAAAAAAAGTACAAGTACTGTTTACCTTCGTCATGTTGTGTTTTTATAAAGCATTTTTAAGTGTAATATGTTTGACCGCAATCATTATTTATTAGGTCTTACCTGAAAGTTCTAACAGTTCCATGAAACAAAAAGATACAGTCGTTTATGTTGCTGATCCTGAATCGCTTGTCAGATCAGACTCTCACATAGAACTTCTATCATGTGACGAAGCTAGTGAACCAATGTACGACTCTGAGGAAGTCTTTTTATATTTTTTAAAAACCTGAATGTCGCTAAAACGAAAGTGAAAAGGAAACAGATTAAAGATCTTACATACCTGCTGTTTTGTGAAGCGAAATGGTCCAACTTCAAGAATGGCTGGTGATATGTAGTTCGGTGCCGGATTAAAGTACATGGCGTTCGCAAGCATTGTAAGAAATATGAAAGCTAATGCACATGACACACGCTGTACTCGAGTAAAGGTACTTGTCTGTGGGCGATAAATTATTGAAATCCAAGTGTGGTTCTCTGAAAATTTGTCTCTGAGTTGGAAGAAGAATCGTGTTTCAAATTTTATCGGACGATCGACAGGGCTTGATGGCAAACATGCATCTATGTGGGTGTCTACTGAAAGCCACCTTTCAGCTACGAAGGTATATCTGTGAAATGTGTAAATAGATTAATTAATTAACACTACGCATGCATAAAGTTGTAAAAGTTTGAAGCGACAAAAATGGGAAATTTGAAATAAATTAATGTGATTTTAATTGATATATAAATATCTCAACGTTAATGGAACGCAAATAACTAAAATGTCGCTAAAACATTGTTGTAGTCACTTGTAAATTCATGCAACTGTCCACTTTAAAAAAAAGTTATCATTTTATTTTAAACAAAGACTAGGGCCTGTGAATAAAACTTAAACAAACCTTGGTTTCCCGCCAGGCCGTATCAAATTAGATAGGGTTTTACACATATTACATAATACATAGCAGACCCAAAATATGTAATACGAATTTATTAGGATAATTATAGATGGAATACATATTTATTATGATTTTGTATTTTCTCACAGAAAATCAAGCATATACAATGTATTTAAGTAATAGAAAGAAAACTTACGCTTTTAATGTCTCTATGTCATAGACAACTACTTGGTTGAGGTACCATTCTGCCTGTGATCCGCCACTATTGTCATGCCAAATATAAAGATGTAACAAATCACCAAGTGGCTGTTTTGTTGCCATGAAGAAGGACATAACACTACCAGTACTGAATTCCTGAAGAATTGCATAGAAAATATGATATCTTTGCCTTGTAAGCCGTTCTAAATATATCTAAAGTACAAAAAACAATGATCTACGGATTGCGGATATATGACGTCATAATGGTATATAATAAAATAATGACATAACAGTGAAAAATCTTAGCTCAAGTGATAAGACAACACTTCGGAAGCTGTCGAATTGTGGCGTAAGCGGATTCGGTTTTTACTCCAAAAACAGATTCATGTGCACTAGTAATTCTTTAATTGTGAAGCCCTTTACCTGGATAAATAACAACGCAAAAAATCGTGTAACACGAGAACGCCCTCCTTGATATTAATTATAAACAAATACAATTACAACAAAAGATCATCGTAGAAAAGTATAAACCTCTCTGATGCCATCATACAGTTCACGTGGTCTCGTGCTTCCGTCTGACCCAGTTAGGATAAATGCTATACGTGATTTAGTTCCTGCTCCGCGCCTCATTCCGGTAAAAACTTTAATGATGTAATAATAACTTTCATCTATCATGTTGTCTCTTAATGGTGTAAGTCCCCACTACAAGTAAAATAAACCTTTGTATTGTTTTCTTATTTCAAAACAAAAGATTTTTAATTACTCCAATTCTAAACCAAAAGGTTTTTTTAAAATCAATTTGAAAGTTGTATTACGCGTGATTGTTTTAATCTGATTTCATCACAATTTTCATTTTAGTATAGGAGTATCGATGACCCGGAATTTCAAAAACTTATCTTGTAATACGCTCGATAAGAAAGGTGTACCTTTAAAGCATCCTGCCTGTCCAAACGGGAGAGGAAAATAACAGCAACAATATAGCAAACAAACAAACAACCAAACGTTCCTAAGACGGCCGCTTGGTTCAGGGGAGAAAACCGCAAAAACACGGTATTAAAGTCGATAGAGTTAGGTGCCACAAAAAATGAGTTGGAGAACACCAGGTCAGTGATTTCTTGACAGAAACACGAAACAACACTTTCATCTGGTTTCCATACAAGCTTGAAAATAAAAATAGATAAGAAACATAATTATATATATCATAATTCATCATAATAAGGTATCATACGTCTAGAATTCAATGACATTTAGAGCAAATTATCATAATTTCAAATATTTTATATCAAGAATAAATGCCTTTTCAAGCAAATATTTATAGTATTAGATATCTTACGTCTAGGATTAAAGCTTTTATAGCAAAAAGCATTACTATTAGATTTTTGATGTCTAAGAATAAAGCCTTTTATAGCAAATAATCATGCTATTAGACATCTTACGTCCAGAGTTAATGCCTTTTATAGCAAATAACCATAATATAAGATATCTTACGTCTAGGATTAATGCCTTTTTATAGCAAAAAATCATAATTCTAGACATCTTACTTTTAGAAAAATTATTGCATTTTATAACACAAATTCATAATATGAGCCGCGTCACGACAAAACCAACATAGTGCGTTTGCGACCAGCATGGTTCCAGACCAGCCTGCGCAACCGCCCAGTCTGATCAGGATCCATGCTGTTCGCTTACCAACTCTATTACAAGTAGAGAAACTGATAGCGAACAGCATGGATCCTGATCAGACTGCGCGGATGCGCAGGCTGGTCTGGATCCATGCTGGTCGCAAACGCACTATGTTGGTTTTGTCGTGACGCGGCTCATATTTTGAATCGGTCACATGATCTCCACATTTGATACTATATTAACCCCAAACAATCATGACTGAACAACGTAAGTGTAAAACTATTTAAAAGATAAGTATAAACGACAAAACAATAGAAATAATAAACTGACAGGAAACAATCGATGAGAAAGGATCAAATAAACCGACTTGATGTATAAAATGATTCTTTTTTTTCTCTTTTTTTGTGTTTTTGTTTGTATGTTTTTTTTGGTTTTTTTTTACTTAGACTGGTTAAAAAAAAGCATAAATCACTGTATAAATCAAGGTAATGTATAAATCAATGCTTTAAATACTGTATAAATCAATTTGTGCTCCTGTAGAAATTAATCTATAGAAAATAATATCATAATTATGAGTTCCTGTACACAAAGGATCAATAGGTCTTTCAAAATACTTAATCATGTTAAATAAATGCCTGTAATAAGAAAAGTATAAACATTTTATTTTGGCGTGGAAACAAATGGAAATTTGAGGATACATATTAATACGCATTATTAGTACAATTCTAGAGCTAAAAAAGTCAAATACATACCTGGCACTTGTCAGTATGCCATTTTGATATTTTCTCTTCCCAAGTTAGGCATCCCACAGTCACAACTGTCAAGTTGTATGATATAGTTTTCACTGAAATTACATTAATTTTTCATATATCTCTACGGTTTTCCCCTTTTTACTTGTTTTTTATTTATATCTTAGACTTATAATAGCATCAGAACCGGATGCCAACTTAAGATAAACAAAACCTGCGATACTTTTCAAATAATTGCAAGTTTTAAAAATGATTGTTTACATAACAACATGTATTGCAATTCTTCTCTAAGTACCAATTACTGAACCATCTGAAATTACAACACGTCAATTCAGGTTAATGTTTAGAAAAATCGCAACTAATGCTACTTCAAATAATTATAGGCACATTATGCCTCAGAAATCCTTTTTAATCGTTAGAACCGTCAACCATGTTAATTAATTATTTAAACATTGATTTCGAGCATGTTAAATGTTTAACAACCGGCGAAAGTAGCGCTGAACATGACGTAAAGTTTCATGAAGGCAGCAAAATGTAAACATAGTAGTATTTTGACTTGTATACAAAATACTTACGCACTTTAACTAAACCATTTGCAAACAGAGCAAATGAAGCACAATAATATAATTTAACTATATGGCACATGAGTAATATTTGGACACTTTTACAAGATACCGAAAATAAACAGTCTTTGAAAAATAGAAATTATAGCATTCTTGAGGCATAATTGGCCTTAAGGTTATGTTAATAGCATGGCACGGTTATTCCGTCAATTTAGGTTAATGTGTACTGAAATGGCATTATATGATACTTCCATCAGATTTGAAAAATATATATATAGAAAAAAATATCCTACGTCCGTGAATTTTGGATAAAAATTCCTCTTACCAGAGAAGGCGTAAATGCGTTAACATTCACTGCAACAAACTAAATACCATCTATAATAGCATCTATAAAATAAAATATTATTGAATAACTTACTAATTCCTGGTAACTGGACGGCCATATATGTTAGTCCGGTATGATTATTCATCTTATCTGGTGGAATACATAGCTGCCAATGGAATTCTTGTCTTACGGAAACAATGAAATCATATTCAATTATTGATGGCACTGAGCTATATTTTATATACACACTGTATTCGGTAAAACTGTATACTCCTTGTGGTTCAACAATCATACACAATTCGTCCGTTGCCTTCTGATAAATCAATCTATGATACATAAACTCTGACACATCCTCTTCGTGGACCTCTGGAATAACGTACTCTGGAATTGGTGTCATCACCGTTTGTTGAAACGTCATGTATCCAGGGGTTACACGCGTATCTACCGATTTAACGTCGAGTCGGAGGACTTTTGACGTCACATAGCTAGACGTTCCGTCTTCGTCATACATATAAACATTCTCTTGAAATTCAAATGCCTGAAATGTAAAAGTAACGGAACTTTTGGTATTGACTCTATTTAGTGTATTACTTAATCGCTGGATACATATATACAAATACCAAAATTAATTTTAAAATCTTTTATTTAAATTTTTCCTGAAGAAAAAAAAGAAAAAGAAATTCTGCAGTTTATTTTTGACATTCTGTCTATAAAAGCAGTGTGTATTTACATTCGTTACCGGAATACAAGTCATAACAATATGTTCTAAACCAAATGTCGAATTTCCAGATATTAATGTTATAACAGACTTGCTGAATGGCTCTATGGTATTTAAAATCAACGTCTGTTTTAAGATTCGAGCCCTTTACGTTTGCAGAATAATGTATCTCTGTGGTCAAGAAATTGTAGTGAAACATTATATTTACAAAAACAATAATGTCACTTACTGAAACAGAAATCGTATCGAAGTTGTCACGTGTTACATTAGTTAGCGAGTCGTTCAGACCGTCAATACGGAATTGAGACGTGGCCGTGGTCGTCATTTGGGTAACAAAGTGGTCTGACTTTTCATTCGCCAGCAACTGTTTAGTGTTTTTGTTACCGGCGTTACTGCAACGTCTACATAGCCTCCACTGGTTTTGTACTTCTTGTGCCAGTTGTAACGTCATCCATGCAGCCTCCTTTGCCTAGAAAAATCCACATTAATACATTATAAGCACAAATTGTAAAGCAACATTTCAAAAATACGTATAGTATCTAGAATTATATGAACATACGTGCACACATTTTGACGATCCAAGATATCAAGTTGCTGAAACGGTATTAAAATCAATGAATTTGTTAACCAAAATAGCATAGAAATGACATAGAAACTTGATGATGAATCCATGGTCCTCACCTTGCTTCGCCTTGTCAAATCTTGGCAATATAAGAAGTTAAACACGAATGTGGCATTTGAATTAATCATAAAACTTTTCAAAAAAGCCTCTTATTTATCAGCAGAGTGAATAAAAAAGAAATTTTATACTCGCTGTGAAAATCCGGCAAACTTATGAAAGTCAGTCATTTCATGGTACATATTCTAAGTATATATAAGTCCTTACGTGAGTAGTAATTTGTGTTCTTTTATTAATTACATACATTTTAACTATTATAAGTCTTCTAAAAATATTTAGAAGAAATACAACAACATCATGTGATTCGGTATTATAGCGTCAAGATCTAACACCGTATTCATTATGCCCAGTATGCTATGTAAAGATACCACCTGACGATACTTTTTTTTGCATTTACATTTGATATACATGGTGTGATTCACTTTTCATGCGTATGCTATGGAAAGCTATTACCGTTTTCTTTTTATCCTTAGTGTTGTATTTAAGATGTTTTTGCATCCGTACGTACAAATACCCCCGTTCTACTGGTGATAACTGAGAGTCGTACAAACTAATATTCTCGGCTAATGCTGACAACATCTCATCAATCTATGAATAAAAAGAAATGTTTTCAATTACTCAAAGATAAATAAATAATTATGGTCTTTATCATTTTGTATGTAAAGTAAAAGCACTTCTTAAAGTTTTCTACCCTATGAAAATAATAAATTCGTTTACACGTACTGACGGGATACAGGCGAGAATATCGGCTATCACTTCGGATCTTATCTATTACATTCAGGCTATTTCTCCTGATGATCCAGTCAGCAATTTGCATATCAAATAGTATAAATTGTTTTATTAATAAAGTTCAAAACTCACATTATTCATTCCGGAAGCAAGGTTACCAACCGGTCGTATTTCTACAAAATCATCAGGTACAGATGATTGCACTATTTCTTGAAACATGTAGTATATTTCTAAAAAAAATAGGAAAAAATGGTTACCTCCCTTCATCTTAAGCTCATGAAAATTCGGAGTTTTTCTGTGACTCTTTTCCTTGATATTTTATTACTTTCCGTAATATAATGTCACTTCTCGTAATATAACACCACTCTACGTGATATTTTGTCACTTTACTTGATATTTCGTCACTTAATGTGATACATCGTCATTTTAAGTAATATCTCAATATCTAATTAGCGTCAATATGATAAGGAACAACATAAATCTTATCAACTGACTGCCTGCCTACATTATTCAATTAAATCACTAATTCAATTGTGATAAAATACTTTACCTAGGAAATATGGAATCATTCGTAATAATTTATATCAGCAAGATAATTCAAATCCATTTAAAATAACATCAAGATAATGAGGTAAATCTATAGTGTTTACCTCCTGATGTTGTTTCTGTCTGCGCTGGATTATCACCTGCTGGACCTTTAGGTATAAGCGCATCAAAGCCAACAAGTTTTGCTAAGTATATGATATTAATCTGAAATAGATCATTTGTATCACTTTGAGTAAATTCTGCGGCTTCCGAAATCAGAGGATTACGGTCGTTGCATTATAATCACTTGTTTACTGTTTGAATCTCGCCATTGACTTTGAATTATACAATGCAATGGAGCTGTCTAGCTTACTTCAAGTGGCTCTTAATGATTGTTCATTTATAAAAATTCATGGAGCGGCAGCTGTTTTCTTTAACTTGAAAAAATGACCACATATGACTGAGAACTCGATACAGCATGGACGGGCATCTTCAAGAGTGACCGCATATGACTGAGGATAAAATATTTCAAGGAGTGGCACGTTCAATGATAACTGTGTATGACTGAGGATAAAATATTGCAAGGAGAGGCACGTTCAATGATTACTGCGTATGACTGAGGATTAAATATTGCAAGGAGAGGCACGTTCTATGATAACTGCGTATGACTGAGGATTAAATATTACATGGAGGGGCATCATAAATAATGACTGCGTATGACTGCATGGAGGGCACTTTTAAAAATACGTATACAAATTCAAACATTTAGTTATTTCAATAATTACAGCCACCAAAATATGAACAGGTTGAACAAAATAATAATTAGAAGTGCATAAAGGTTAACTCAAAAGATAATAAGTATGAAAAGCCTCTTACCATACTGTTATAGTTCAGATACCGAGGCTGTGCAACAAGGTTAGTAAATGCATTTGTCACCAACGACGCTAGCCATTTATCGCCGCTTCGACTCCCACTCAAATCAGTCTCAACTATATTACGCGTGAACTGAACCATTCTCAACATGACCTGCGGATACGTACGACATACATTTCTATTATTTCGCTTTTCTGAAACTCTATATGCATTAATTCTGTAAATATCATGAACATACGTTCTCCAAAAGTTCCCCGCTCTTCTGGTATCACTTATTCGCATCAGTCTTTTATTCAATAAAATGATCTGGAACAAGTGTATTCCCTTATTCATAAAAATAAATGTTTATATACAACATTTTCGTGCATTGCCGCTCATATTGTGGTTCACGTGGTTTATGACGTCATTATATAGTAACATGTTTTGCTTAGATTAATAGGAGGAAACTGCTGTAATTATTTTATTTCTTCACCAGGTATAATTGTGAAATGGTTGCACTAAGGAAAAAAAACTGTTAACGTGTTGTTTAGATCCTTTTTATTTCACTTAAAGACAACGGAGGACTGATGCATTTACATTTGAAGACGCAAGAGGATGTATTTACAAAGCTCTCGAGCCGGCAGGGCTTATCTGTAATAGACCTTTTCAATGATAACGGTCTAATTGGCTTGCAGGCTATTCGGTTGTTACACTGGTATATGATTGACCCGACTGACACAAAAGAAAAATGTTTATGTTTGTGATACTGTTTATGAGCATTTGACTTATCAATTACTGGAAAATGGCGGAACTGTTTGCTAAAATCGTTAAGTTATTTGTTTTTGAAAAAAAATCGTTTTCGCTATGCTTTGTAAGTATGAGTGTAATGTCATTTGACAGAAATATTTTGATAATCATTATGAAATTACTAGTCACACATGAGTCACGCATATTCAAAACCTGCAACAACGGCGCCTGCTAGTGTGATTATATGAAGCTTCGTTCACATATTTTACGCAAGGATACCCTATGACCATTTTGTTACATAAGTTGCTCAATTTCAATAACGCATTTGTTAAAAATCACAACAGACCTGATAGTTAATATATGCAAACGATTTAAGACGGATGCTAGATCTAAATCTTTCTATCATACTTATGAAATGTTAACCTACATCTTGTATAGCAACTGTAGCTGGATCATTTAAATTGTTTTCAGCGTCTTCCATGACTTCATCTAAATTTCCAACATCTTTATTTCCGTTTGCGTTCAGATCCATCACAAATCCATCGGAATTCAATACTCTTGGAACAGGGGGTGTCCATTCTCCTAACTGCAAATGTAATGTGGTTTAAGTAATTGACAATATGATAGACAGCCTTAACTTAGCTTAACCTTTCTGACCATGTCGTATTAATTTGTTGGTATTACTTCTGATATGTCAAAAGACTGAGATCGAATTATCGCAATAAGCAATGGTCAAATCGTAGTGGTGTAAAGTTCAACAGCGATGTAGACAATTCACAATAGAAAGTGAAACAAACGTAATGTCGAACCTACACAGACAAGAGCATTTTTCTTTTGGATTAATATCAACATTGATACCATAGCAGTCTTAATCACAATACGGAAATGTGGCACGACGGTTTAAAGCTTTGCATTTGCCTTTGAAGGTATGTATTGTATAACAAATGATGATACATTTTGATAGCTTTTGCTATTGAAGATACACATGCTTTCTATTTTTTTTACATATAACTTAATCAGATAACATTTCTCTACTACGTCTGCACTAAAGTAATGTCATACATACAAATTTATAGCTATATCCATTCAAATTAATGCAAGTAAAACAATCAACGAAACTGTATGAAGTGGCACTTTTTCCACATACAAAAGAAAAAAAATAAAGGTCCAACTACTAGAAACTTTTGTAAAGGACACCCCACTGAATCTTTTGTACCCAAGTCAATTAAAAAGCATTTAATATACGTTTTATAAGCACCAAATAACCCAATCCGGAGGACATGTATCGTTTTTCTCTTTCAAGTAGTTTTAGTCAAAATGTAACGGGTACAGAAATAGTTTCACTCAAACAGAATGACTGACCTGCAGGTGATTTCACATGCCAAGTGGAAAGCATTATCACCAGGGACCTTGGTTCATCAATAAAGTCTTATCCAATTTGAATCTCATAGTAATTTTACTTGCATAAGCGGGAGGGGGATGGAACACTCGGAGATGGTTTGTATCACTTATTTTGGTGCTGAAGCTCATTTTTGTGTTTTAAAAATACAATTATAAACAGATTGTATTACAGTGGAGCTAAAGTGTTACTTTACTTACATCAATAAGGTGAATGTTACTACAAACGGATGATACAAGTGTAATCATCATGTCACTTTGACCCATGTCATACAGTTGTTGTTCGTCGAATGGATAATCAGTCTCTGTGTAACTCCTTATAAGTGTAGCACCTTCTTCAGTTGGTTCCACAAATTTCACTGCAAACGCTGGCCAAGACTAAATATTCATCATACGAGATTAAAATTTCAAAATATTTGTAATCTTCAATATCTTATTTATCTCACGTAAATAGGCAACGTTTTCATGTTTTGTAGCTCTACTGAAAAGAACGCAAGTGACATTATATTAAGCAAGACTTAACGAAAACTATCGCTTCTTCCAAGACGTAATGAGGGCTGCTTGCGGCGGTGAAGATACCCAGCAGATCAACGCTAAAACATGGAAAACATTGTAATAAAAGGTGGACGTTTGACAATACTACTACTATTATGTACATGAAATTCAACAGGTAACAGTTTTAACGTAAATTCAGAGAATACAATATTACATCTAAAAGTATTTAAATAAGTGCACGTGTGTAATGTAGATTTTCAATGGATAATTTTGACATTTATATAAACTATATACACGCCTGCTGTGAATTTGAGAAGTAATTTCTTTTTCTGACTTAGGATGTTTGTTGCATTATAGATTCGTTAATAACATATTTGACAGGTTATCTGTCCTTGATACAAGCGAAACGGTAATTTACATATCTAACCGGAGCAATTAGGCTTTAAAATAATAAAAACGGCTAATGGCCTTTATAACCAAACCAAAACCTTAATAATAAATATGGGCATTTATACCTTTATATCCAGTGAAAAGTCTTTACAATGAATTTATAATACTGCATCTTTTGATTAAAAAAGAATTATGTTTCCACAAGCAGTGTTTTTATTGTTAATATTAAAAATGAATATCCGATGAAATACAACGTTACAAATGTGCAGTATTATAAAAACAGAAATATAACATAACTCACGTTTACAAGAAGAACTTCTTGGTAGTAGTTTTTGTATACATCTGTCACACGAAATATTATCTTTGTCAGGTAATTATTGTTCGGATCTCCAACTTTTAATATAATGAATGACTTTTTGGAGCCTTGTGAAAAACGAAAAATATAAAGTAAAATATAAAAATATAAAATGTGTTTGACAGGATATTTGCAATATTATTTTCTTTATATGAAACAATGCATGAAGCTCGAACTCGAGGACTCCCTCTACCAGAATCCATTGAATGTCTCTCGATATGTTATTATCGCGGCGGATAAACGCCATGTTGTATGTGCGCCTTTTTTTCGGCACACACATGCAAACATGAATGCGAACTTAAAAATACGATGAAAAACACCGTTGTCGCATCTTTGTGTTTTTGCAGGTAAAAAGGACGACAATATTATCCATAAATATGAGACATAAAATATGAGGTATGTTCGCCTATTATTTAACGTATATTTACATTTTCGCACATTTAATGATTTTCATATTTGCTTGTTCGATTGTCTATATCTTTACGGATTACTATACTTAATATAATCTTATCGAATATTGAAGTGATTTCATAACACTTTTTAAAAATCTCAATATTTTCACAAATATAAAATTTTGCTCTTACGTGTTTGTAGAATTGGCTCGTCTACTACTTTGGCTCCGGCAGTAATCTGTTTCACAGTGAACGATAAAATTGGGCTATAGTCTGTAACTCCTGTTATTGCATCAATTTTCACCCATGACTCACAGGAAAATGTTACCCACTCACGAGCAGAGGTAACTGAAAACAAGAGAATAAATTAAAGTCATGCTAAAATGAGGAATACTTTTATAGCGTGTTTAAAATTTCATAAATTCATCGTTTTAAATTCACGAATTCATTTTTTATCATAATATTTTCTCGATTGCAGCTTCATGAATTTATATTTCTTCCTCGTGAATTAACGTTTTCATGTTTTCGCAATCATTCTAAGTTCTTTATTTTACGATTTTATCAAATTTAATTATTAAAATTTAAACTTAATATTCATTATTTCAAATTGATCAATTAACGATTTCAACTTCGCGATTTTGCAATCAATTACGTGAAGTTTAAAATATGATAAAACAAGATCAACAAGGAAAGGCGGCGCACAATGATAGCAACCCCCACATGACCCAGCAACAAGAACCAACCCATGAAATCATGAAATTCGTGAAGTTGAAATTGTGAGTTAAAGTTTGTTTATGTTGAATTTACAAAAATATCAAGTACTGGTTTCCAATTCATTCCTTCAAAATTAGTTTCCACGTTGCCGAAGTCCAAAACCAATTCGTATTTGTTCAAATATGAAGTTAAGTTACAAAACTACAATTGTGAATCATCAAGTGGAAATGGGGATATTTAATACACGAATTCGTGAAGTTAAAATGGTATATTCATAAAACTAAAATTGTGCGGTTATGATTGAAGTTGAAATCGTGAATTCATGAAGTTGTGAAAAATACCTACAGGTCTCTCGCATTACCGGTCTATAGTAACTGTGGTCAAACGATTGGAATTTCAAAACAATCTTTATTTTTGTGCCTTATACTTAAACAAAATTGAAAAATAGTTAACTACACAAGTTTTACACTGTTCCATAAAAGGAAGACATTTGTAAAAAGAAAAATTGGCTTGGGACCTTTTGAAGTAATAATTATATGTAAACACTTTATATCTATACTTTTAGCGAAAAGAAACAAAACAAACAGAAACGCAGCATTTTCATGCGTCAAGATATATTAATAAATCTAATTCGCGCGAAAATGACCAAAAGTTATTGAAATGCTTATTAATAAAATGCGTATTAAAATTAAAATAATAAATACGTACGCGAAATTAAAACAACGAATATAGGCGGATTTTATCTGATATGTTGATACTAGTACATGATATATCTTAAAGAGGATGATAACAATAATAGATATCATTAAAAGATTGTCACAAACAATTTGTTCTGCCATAAGCAAGTTCGCATGTTCCATTGAAAGGAATGTAGTTCACAGTTTTCACCAACTGCGCTGTAGATGCAGTGTGCCTCGGGCTGATAACAGTCACGGAGATTTGGTACGTCTTTCCTTGGACCAGCGAACCTTTCGTAATACCTAACGATGGTGTGGCATAACCTGAAATATTTTAATTATATAACCATAGAAACAGGATTTTATATTCTTTTTATACATGTTATGCATGCTCTTAAATCCTGGTTTAAATCACTATCTGTTTAAACTTTTTTTTATTTTAAATATATATATACTTTTTCAAAAGTACTCTTTGTAAGGTACATACCATTATTTACTTCATTGATCTCCTTTCTTCCTTTATTAAGGGAGTTATTGACTAAAATATCACCTGTATATGGAGATGATGTAAGTGCGATTAAAATTAAAATGCCACTTTCGAATGCATCGTAGGACATTGATTTGTTATTATTTTGTTTCTCATTCTGACGTTGAATAAGGAAGAATATGTTTGTTTGTTTGTTTCATTGGGTTGTACGTCACACCGACACAGTATAGGTCATATGTCGACGTTCCAGCTTTACTGGTGTGGAGGGACCTAAGGTGACCTCCCGTGCATTATTTCAGTCACAAACGGCCACCTGAGTAGATCAACCGACGTTCCGTAAGCGAGCTGGATAGCTTCCTCACATGAAAGAATCCAAAGCCCGAGGAAGAATATGTAATTTAGTATATGTATGTATATTTGAAGTGGCCAATACCTGTGGTAGTTGCAATAGCCCGAGTAGGAATATCAAATCCCGTCTTGGTTGCGTTCAATTCCAGTACGGACCAGGAATATATAAAACCCGTTGTATCGATTCCAGGTTGAATGCTCAGATCTAGCTGTAGTTTATCGTAGTAGAATAGTCTTTCTCGTCCAACATGACAGTTGTATATACAACTGAAGATAAATTAAAGAATAAAATGTCTTAACATAGGTTCTGAGGATGACTTATTTATTGTCCTCGTCATATGATGCTGAAGGGTCGCGGGCATCCCAAACAACACCTTACAATTTCATTTCATGTATAATAATATATGGTATAATAATATAAGATACATGTATTAATGTGGGAAAAAAAACTTGGTGAACTTTATAACAATGTCAATTGATGGAATTTTAATTGTTAATAGGACAATATTTATATATAAGCTTCTGAAGCGTTCTGAAAATAGTTTTATTAGTTTCCATTCTTTTTCAAAATCCTATAATGTGTTTCTTTTAAATGCTATATTTGTGTTTAATTGTACAGAAGATAAAGAAATAATTTGAGTCTTGGTAATGTTAAAGTTCCATTTCAAAAAACTACTTTGAATTAATAGCAATGTAACTGGATAAAGTGGTATATTGTTTTAACCTAGTATGATAGTTTTTGTTTCATTTACTTCAGACTGTACTTGTTTTCTTTCACATACTATTTTGAATTCATTTAGAAGCCTGGATGTATGAACACATGACCAAAAAGATGTTCAATGCTTTAATTTTCTACATTACAATATGAGCAATGTGGAAAGTCATTCCATTTTTGTTTGTAAAGGTAACCGTTTAGTAGAAATATTCTATGTAATATTCTAAATTGCAGCCATTGTGTTCTAGTAATGTTAGTGTTGTTTAATTGTAAACTGATAACTTTTTAATTGGCAAAAACCCGGTCGAGACATCCCGCTTGCGCACAGGCACACACACACGCGCGCACGCACGCGTGCATGCATGCACGCACGCACACCCACACAATTCTTTCCTATATATTTTATGAACTAAAGTTTTCATTTACAGAAATGCAAGACTATCAATTGTACGTACGCGTTTAGCTGATTAAGTTCTAGTTTTCAGCTACAAATAAATCATTAGCCACAGATAAGATATTTAATACTTTATAATACTTTTAAGAATACAATTGTGTCAGAAAATACAGATACATTTGAAATTAAATTGGTCGAAAGAAATTGGAGGGTTTGATATGCTGTAAAAAAGATAAACATATATTAATATTAACTTAAGATCAGACGTCTTAACCAAAAGGCTGCCAGCCCCTATTTGCTTGTCAATAGTATTCAGACTCGAGATTAACAAAACAAAATAATAATATTTATAATAATAATACTTATAACGTATAATTTATACATACTCTATTGACATGGGTAATGCGTTGCTAACCAACTTTACAATTTGCATTGCTGACGCCATTCTAGTACTGCGTGATAGAGAAAATACCGCCATACAGTAAGAATTGACAGGTAATAATGCCGTGTTGACCTTCAAAATATAATCCGTTCCATTCTGGACCGCATGAATTTTATGAGGTGCTATGGCTTGCGGCGGCAATGTTATAGAAGGAAAAAACATAATGAGCGAGTTCAAATTTTCCAAAGGAAGTACAGTGAAAACAACAAACGACCAGGAGGCCTCCAAAGGTTGCAGCACATTTGATTCATTCATAGGATCATATGATTTGTCAGCAAATATTTGAAGCTCATTTCCATGTGGAAACTCTAGATAGTCACCGGCTGAAATATGCGCAACAAGTTCTGGATCAACCACTTTTAAGATAAACAAATCTTCTGTCCACTCATACTTGCTAAGTAGTGGGAACTGAACTTCCAAGGTCACGATATAATCTCCATTTGCCAGAGTTCCCCTTGGCAAACTTAAAATAGACGAATTTGTCTGAGTAAAATTTACAAAAGGAATAAAGTGCAGGGTTGCATTAACATTGGTGATCCGCCAGTTTATGATTGGTGCAGTACATGTAGAATTCGCGAATTCCATGTAACTATCGACCTGAAGAGAAAAATAATACTTATATTAACAACTTTATTAAAGAAAAAAATAATATTGACACATATTCAGAAAAGGTAATCACAAAACTGGAGACAAATAACGATGAGTTAAGGATAACAGTGAGCTCAGGATACTGATGAACATGTATGCGACCCGACTTATTGGAAATGCCAGAATCACCAAACTGGGACTCTTAGTGCGTTCGAGGTAAGATGCTAAACATCTGTTTTATATTATAAAATGAAAAAATTCAAATATATGTATATGTAAATGTTTTTTTACATTTAGTGAAATTAACACGTTTGCATCTTCTTTTTTCTTCATGAAATATAAAACCAATCAAAAAGCATTGAATCAATAACAGGTTCACAATTCACAATAAATGCTATACGTAACTGTCGGAGTGTAACGAAATTGCCTGGTATTATTCGATGTTAGCGATTCGTTACTTTTGAATTCCGTTATCCTTAACATATTCATGTCACCTTAATGAATGCAAGTGTAACTTAATGGTACAAAAGAATTATGACCCAATACAGAGATCTTACCACCTTTAAGTCAGTTTTAATTAAGCTACCAGTAATTTAAACGTTTAATATATTGTTATACAAAAACGCCGCAAGTACAAAGTAACATATTAAACTTCAACCAAGTTGGATAATGCAATTTAACTGATTGTGCTTTTTCGATCACCCCTACTCTCGCCTAATTAAACAGTTCTTAATCTTTAGAAATTAAAGTACTTGATTCAAATCTCCAAAAGAGGAAGAAACTTATGATAACTGGCATACTGGATAAGTTTTGCCTACATTATTCATCAGAGTGGGGATTCTTTAAGAGCAATGTCGACAATAACCATAAATGATATTAAATATTACAAGGTAGAGTAAAAAACAATTTAAGAAAAACCCTGACTGATTTTGAAAAAACTGTAACTAGACTAGTGCTACCAGAATTGGATCTGTTGAAAGAAAGAATAGGGGCTTGTCAAACATTTTGTTGTCGTCGTCAAAGAAATTGTCATCTTTGAAACATTGGGTATATTGAATTGGGCAGTCTATTCTATCCTTCTTGTTGATATCGTCCTTACACCGCATCGACACACTGTATATTCCGTACTAAAATGGAAAATAAAACACAAAATTAGACTAGCTGAGCAAAGAGTTTGCTTTTAATAAACCACAAGTAAAGTCTGACGTATTTACATCGTTTCCTTAAGAAATAAAAGCACTTGACTGTTGCAAAAGTTAACATCCTTTCAAGTTCACTGATACAATGTCATTACATTACGTCATGGTAGAAAAAATTGAGCACTAATTAAGTTCTGCTACGACCTAGGGAAAACTCTAACCTGTAAAGAGTCAAAGATAAAAATAGACACTAAACTTAATCGTACACTTGTTTAAATGTGATACACCAGATTTGAAGATTTGAGGGAATATGAGATCCCATTCTAAAGCGTGTGGGTCTAGTGCGCCAACCAAAGTAGAACTCAATTGGGGACGCTCTTGATAAAGAGAAGCGATTAACAGTGCGCGTTACTTCTATGATGTTTGACGTGAGTTCCGATGTACTGATAAAATTATAAAAACGTAAAACGTTTTTTTCCCACTATGTGTTCAGCTAGATCTAGAAAATTGATTCTAAATTGTTGATCATGTTTAAGGAATTCATCTATTCGATATTGTTCCGAGCATAACTTGACTGTGTATATGAGATAATAGTACTTGAAAACTGTATGAAAAAAATACACTACGAAACTGTTACATTGGCAAGTCATGTCTGGTGATAATTATCCAAATACGTTGGATAGATTGAGGTGGTACCTTTGCGCGTTACCTTTCCTAAAACTGAATGTAAAAGTATCTCTTAATGTGAACAGTTTAAACTACGCATTAAAAATGTTGAAGTATGTATTTTTGATAATTATATCAAATGACAAAATTGTAACGACATTACTTACGGCGCTATATTGATGACTGATTTCTGACTGGTTATCTTTGATTCTAAATTTACTATCAAAAGCTCCATCTCCCCAATATATTCTACACTCTGGATCGTCATCTGTGGTTACTTCACCAGGTAGAGATATGTTCAGATGGAGTCTTGCAGGATTGCTCGGGTCTGCTACATACAAATCCATAGCATAATCTCCACATTGGTATCCTGATATGAAATTGAAGTACATAAATTTGACAAAGGCATGTAGTACCAACCATCATATATTAATCATAGTTACTGATCACTCTGCCAATTAACATTTAACAAGCTTAACTCCGATCAATGTTTGCGGCTGACTGGAAGGTTATTATTCGGGTTTAAAAGTTATTTCATAGAAGTGCTTAAAAATCAATTATAATTTTTAGTAATAACATAATCAATTATTGCCAAAAAGTTGCTACCGTTTGAGACCTTCCAACGCATTTGTAAAGATTATTTAAAGTTATTTAATATAAATGAAAGTGCCCAGTTACCTAGATAACGTTGTATACACTGACTCTAATTTCTAAGTAGTCTTAACGCTTGTGAAAAAAGATACTTCCGTTTTTAACCACAAATTAAAAAGTGGGTATTGCCGTGTATACTACTTTGTGTATAATGTAAACATCTCATCTGACATTTTGTTTCTAATATTGTCTATACATTTATTAATATTATTTAATATTATATCATTGTTTGCATTGTACAAGAAAGATAAAAGTTCATAAAAAGGTATAAAAACTCCAGCCTTACTGTCGGTTATAATTGAAGTTTCAGGACCCACGGAGAGCGACTGTCCAGGTACGTACAGGAATTCTAAAGATCCTCCACCCTGTGTCTGACTGACCGAATGCTTAATGTTGAAAGTTCCAACTCCTTAACAAAATAATGGACAGCATAAGCATAATCAATATATTTAGATACATTTAGATACTTGTTAAATACTTCATATACGATATATTGTATCTTTAAAATAAAACAAGTCATAAGCATAATCATGCTTTATTTCAGCATGTTAAATACATTATATGCATGTTTTACATGTTTATATTTTAACATAAACATTAAAAAAAAAACAATTTCGCTTTATATTTTATTTTTTTATATAGTTACCTTAAATTTTCTGTTTTCAACTTACTCATGAAAATCTTACAATTATTAAGATTGTGTTCCCATGTTCTACCTTCTATTACATGTAAAAACAGCTTAATAAAATGTACTTATATTCTAGGAAAAGTAAACAGATTTAAGATTCAAGTAGCAGATCTGATTTCCATTTTACATGTAATGTGCGATGCAGTATTTATCATTATATTTACTAGACTAACGCAGTACGACCATTTTTATTTGTTTGGGTCGTCAGACCAAACAGATGATGGTAGCGAAATTTGAGACCCTGATGTTCTTATTTGCAAATGCCGAAAGTAATCCAAACTCATCGAAGCGGTTACTTCCTTTCATATGTACATTAACGCCGAAAATTTAAGGGGAGATCACTGCGTAAAGATTGTCAAATGACAGGCGCATTAATTTTCGTAACGAAAAAATAGTTCCCGATTGGTCGAAGATTTCTAATATTGCGTTATTCTCATAGATATACATGCTTATATTCAGGTCCATGATTATTTACTTCAGTGTTAAACAACAGATTTACCGTGAGCAAAATATATGAAAATTAATAAGGGTTACAAACTCTAATTTAGAATAATATGGTATTCTTCAGAGTGTTATCTTATAACTCCCCGTGGTCGAGGGGTTTACACCTTCACCTTTCTGACATTCTGAGACCCAAACAAATTCAGCGCCTTCTGCGCTTTGATTACTTAGTGTTGCCTCTCTTTGTAATTTATATTGACTTTAAATGCCATATGCGATGTGTCGATAACTTTCTTTTACTTTTAAATATATTTTCATTTTTCTTTATGAAAATTACTATGAATCTGGAGAGATGCAGCTTTAAAAAGTCTATATTTGGTTTTATTAGAAATTTGATAACAACGCTAAACAAGGTCTACAGATCAATGATAAAGACAAAAGGAAACTTACCATTTAGGACCTCAAAGGGGATTCCCTTGGCTGGAAGTTAAATATAAATCTAAATAAAACAAAGTTTGTAGAGAATGAGACACATAATTATGAAGACTATGAATAAAACGGCATTTTTTTATAAACTTGATAAATGAGTAGAATGTTTCATGTAACGTATCATCATGCCAAAATATACATAAGACACTTAATTCCTTTAAACGACCTTTTCATAATAATATAAAATAACGACATTTAGTCGTTATTGGTTTTTTTTAACACGTATATCTTAAATAGTGTATTGACTGTAGCATCAATTTTAACAAGATATCGAAAAAGACAAAAAAATTTTTTATTGACTTAAAGTGTACATAGCATCTTGTCACAGACAGGAATATTTAGCATACATGTATGAGTAACCGTTTAGCGGAAACACATCGCCGTTGACAGTTTTTCTCGAGCTAGCTATTCTAGTACGGCAACTAGTCAAAGAATCAAATAAATACTTATAAGAATAAAGATTTAACAAAAAATGCATAAAATCGAGTGGCGCATGCGCGAATTAATAGCTGAACCCACTCAAGATAGTTCTGATATACTTTTTTGATTAAATAAGGAATACCTTAGTATCATTCTTACATATAATATTCAGGATTTAGGTATTCTTAAACATTTTTGATATATAACCTGTAAGATACGATTGCACACAGTTAATTTGTTTAATGAACATGTAGTACATTTAGTTTTTTATTATTATATTTAGTTATTGTGCTAGAATTTGCGTTGTTATAAATAATACCATATATTAACGGCATAACTTGGGATAAAAGAAAATAAAGAAAACCAGAAGAAATGTTTCAATAATACGTGACGAAAGCAAGAAATTTCCACTTTGAAATATTCAATTATAATAATTTAAGATACACAAGCAACGATTTCGCGCATGCGCCATCCGTTTTACGGGATATTGACAGTAACTATAATCATTCTTTTGAATAAGGTACTTTGTATAATTTTAATCAAGATACAACAAAACAAATCTACTGATCATTTTTAGGCTGAAAGAAGTTTACAGCAAGTGCAATAAAACTGGTCTTTGTGAATCATTTTGACTAATATAACAATACAATTATAAAATAGCAATATCTAGACAGTATTTTACTATTAATAACTATAATTACGTACATGTGTAGACAACAGTGACCAGAACTGCAATAAACAATGTTGATTCCGTCTTACACCACATCGCAGCCTTGAAATTAGAAAGAAAGAAAACACAAATGACTTTGTGATGAGCTGAAATCTGTATATACGCAGATATAAAATTTTTATTCCACGACAACGTTAATGTAATTCATTATCAATTGAACGTTGTTCACATGGATGAATTGATTGTTTTCTTGATTAACAGCACGTTTTCCATTTGTAGTCAAGTCCTTTCAAATGAATAATTTACAGAAGGCAATTAGTGGTAAAAAACATTTTCGACCAATGGAATCTTTCGAATTTTCAAAAACAAAAATACCCTTCTTAATCGCACTGACACGCAAATTTTGCTACTTATATATTATGTCGAACACTTAATAATAAAGAGAGATTTGAATGAAGTGCGCATGCACGAATTGAATACATAAGCTCCGCCTTCTCATGACGACGTCACACTGGTAAAATTCTAAGTGAGAACTGGGTCAACAGTTTCTTCGTACAATTTGTGGCGGGTTCATTTTCTTACAATCTCAAACAGATGATATAAGCAACCAAAACATTTTGTTCATTTTGAGCTAAAATATATTAATCACAAATGGATTATGGTTGTCATTACAATATTATCATTATTAAACATATGTCAATCAATACACACAGTTAGGCACATGCAATGGTAAAGGTTCAATCCTCTTTTTTCACATGGAAATCCCCTTAAATCTTCCGCGAGAAATTCACAGAGAAGTGCTTTGGTTGATATATAAAAATATTCACATACGACATTCTTAGAAGTTTGCAACATAGAAGAAATTCAGAATAATGCGCACTCTGTTGCCAAACCTACTGTTGCTAATTATATATTGATTGACGTAATTGACGTAAATAAAATGATCTCCTTTTACTCCACGTGTTGTATTGGAAACAACTTTCTATAGACTAGAGGTGTTCCAGCGGTGTCAAATGAGGTTTAAAACTAAGTATGTAAGCTAGATTTTTAACAGAAATTTCAACAATAAAGAACCCTAGGTATCTCACTACTGGTCGCTTCCTTTGAAGTTCTTAACTTAATAAACACTAACTATTCAACAATAATTCATAAAAAACAATATAATAAATCAATATACGTTGAATAGTTTAACTACCACTTTAACGATTTAAATAATAAATAAAAGATACTCTACTGCGTTGAACAATTATCGGATTCTATTTAAAGTATTTAAAACTTTTTTTCTATAATTTCCGGTAAGGTATGCTTTTATGACAAAACTACGGTGGCATAGAAAAGCCAAGAGATAGAAAATATTTACAGCTCGTTTTCTAAATAATACTGTACCAGACAGATACATAGAACAGCACAAATTTTAAGAATTTAAAAACATACGTTGTGATCACCATGCATGACAACAAAATACGGGAAGGAAAGTTAATGAAACCGATTGTTCTAGTAAGTCCCATACTTGGAATGTTGCTTAGGAAAAAATCAGTATTTGTTTCCCTGAGTGGAACAACGCGGATTTTTAATTGTTCGTGTTCGTGGTTTCTTTTTTCTATACATACTGATTCTTTCATAAACAGTTTATGGTAGAATGAGAGCGACCTACACTTTATCTCGTTAAAAATAAATAATAAAAAGTTATCATAGGTATGTGAAAAACTACTTTAGCCCCCAACATTATTTTTGCTGCTCCATGCAAATCACAAAACATTCCAGTGGTATTGGCACCGTCATATCTAACCGGTAAATACAGACACGGGCAAGAAGTGGGGCCTACTCGTCGAGGAAAGCTGCATTTAGTATTGAATTTTAATGGAGGAATAGACCCTCATTAGGCAGAGAATACAAACATATCTACATGGGCAAGAAGAAATGTGAGGCAAAATACATTGACAACGTGAACGAAGAAATAAGTGTAATAAAACAATACGTGAACAAATTCTATCATATAGATCCTAGTGTGTCTAAACACACATTCCAAGTAGCAAAGAAACATAAATTAATAAGCTGATATTGGTTCATGTTTTCTATGCTTTACATTTGAAACAAAAGGGAAATGGCACAAGAGAGAGAGGGAAAAGTATTAATCATAGTATTTTGTTAGCCGATTTCAGTTACAAAAGTGGTGAATTTGCGATAAAACAGTTACAATAAGTTGTTTGTTTATGGGGCCATAACACTGACTTGGTCTCTCGTTTCATCCTCGTAACTTACTTGTTTTATACATGTATAACTATTACAAAGTTTTTACGAGTCACAAGACGAGGGAAATATGATATCTCAATATGTGCACGAGTCCGAATATATCGTGCATTGTACAGAACAATGTTTTTTTACCTCCATTTTGTTTCATTGCAAAATACCTCTTTTTGAAAATGTCTTATATATTTTCAACTAATAAATGAATTATGTGCATGATAATGCCATGAACTGTATAATATGTAAATTGTTTAAACTGGGACAGGATTCATAGCTTTCCTGCCCAATCTCAAATGTATTGTGTAAATATTGTTCATCATAATGTAAACTTTTTTATTTTTTTATGCAAATTATTTCAAAGAAAACGCGAAATGTGATTATATAATATATTCTGAAAAGGATGCAGTCAATTTCGTTTACAAATCGCTTTCAAATAATTTCCAAATATTTTTGTCGATTATTTATCCTTGACGGTAAAAGAGGAATGTCATACGCATTCAACTGTCTGTAAAAGAAAAATAATATTAGATCATACAATGTCCAATAGAGGAAAACACTGGACGACAACAACGAAAATTAGAAGGCCCCAATTGTATGCAAATAATTGGTATACTTTTATAATAGTTGAATAGTCTGTTGTCAATAAAGTGTTTCGACTTTCTATATTAACTTAGAAAGCAAATCATTTAATGTTTGTAAAAGGTTTGATTGTAAATATTAGTTAAAATTACATCATATGGAATTGAATAATTGTGATGAATAAAGCGTTGTTTGTAATTTAACATTCTATAGTTAAATCAAAGATATCATTCGATAGGGACAGTTGTAATCAACTAAAAGCTTTTGAGAATTTTACTTCACCCAAAGCATGTTTATACTGAAACAAAATGATTCCAATGAATCTTCGATTAAATAATCAGTTCGCTATAATAATACATAAGCAAATGAGAAAATTTTATTTGCAATATCGTTTAGCGATTTTCCGTACAGAGATCGTTTCATTTATTATTTTAGTTGTTGTTGTTGTAGCGATTTTGACCTCTCTGAAAGTAAGTATGCCATAAAGAGTCGTTTTCCTTAATAAAGTTGCTGTTAATATTGTCGGTTGCTAATTTAAAAGTAAATAGGCTGAACATTCTGATTCTTTTTAAAAATATTGATAAACCTAGCAAAATGCTAATAGCATTGATTAGTCTATTGTTTTCACTTTTGAATACAACATTATTAATACCTTATTCAATCAAAAAGGTCTTTTTTAATCAATCGTAGAACCATTGTCATTTGGTCGTTTGTCATTAACTATAGTATCAATTTGCTCATTTATAAAACATGTGTTTGTTAAAGCACATGAATAAGAAGCTTTCCAAACTCCATGAATAGGGACGTAACGATATTTACATTGCGCATAACAAAGTAGCGTCTAAGCGCTTTAATATTATATTTATGACTTTAGGTCACAGTGATCAAATAAAGAATATGTAAATAAGTGAGTTTATTGAAAGAGACAAGGTGCGCCTAATAGGTTTGTCTACTCTTGTCATTGTGATCTAAGTAATGTTGAAGAGTATCTACCGGAAAGCCACCCCGGTTATTATTTGAAAAGCTATCATTTAGATGACGTTTGTTTATACCTACCATTGAAAATCAATTTATGTTATTCCAAATGGAGCGACAAGTAACACACGTATGTATTCAGACAGCTTCGCTCTTTTATGTCTAGGCAAACAGATCTGAAAGAGCAGCTGGAAACAAATGGACGCGTGCATCCCCATGTAGTCTCAATTATATTTAATAATACGCATAAACCACGGCGAAGTAGTGCAATAAACCCATTTAATAAAATACAATATTTTTTTTAACTGCACACCATTCATATTATAGTTATGTAATAAAAAGAATATTGAAGTGGGTAGATTCAATACTTAATTCATTGAGTATTGCCAGAGGCTCGCAAAATATGTTTTTTTCCAACTTGATTAATAACTTTCGTATTAAATCTACATTCATTCAATATCCTCTTTGGGGGAGGGGGGGGGGAGGGTGTTTTTGACAATTGAACGGCAGCAGCAGAAAATTTTGCTCATCCGGTGAGCGCCGTCGGGTTTTAAGTACTACTTAAAAGCTAACAGCGTCTGGACGATAATTTTTGGGGTCATTGAGTTGAAAAATTCATCTGGCGGCGATCGCCCGGTCGCCGGGCGGCATCCGGGCGATGTTTTACGGATCGATGCTTGTTTTATATACAAAACACCGTCAGAGTTGGCGAACGAGTAACGCCGGATACCTGGACGATTCATGCACAGGCACCGGGTGGTCATCGTTTTCTCTTACGACGTTCGCGCGGCTCGAGTTTTTTGTAATTGCGGCTTGAGATTTTTGTAGTTGCCTAAAATGTATCATTGAATTTTTTTCCATTCAATTCGAACAAGAACATCTACGCGGATTAGTATTAAGGAAAAGGCAACCTTCAATCTTTGCATTATTTGCTTGGTCTTCATCTTGTCTCTATCAGCTGCCTTCTTTGCTGGCATATTGACCACTGACTGATTTTTAAAAGAATATCGCGAAATCGTCAAAGTCGACGATGTTTTAAAAATGGTTAAATCGGGCGGCAGACATTTTATTTGTGATCTAGGCATAACTTCATATTCATAATAATATAATAAGCTTGTTCAAAACACGAAAGAAATGTTATAATGAAATATGAAATTTTTAATAATGATCTTTGTTTCCATTTAAGAATATATCTTCAAAAAAATGTAACGCAATTCAGTGTGTATGGCTATTTCTTTACTTTTATTTCGAACGGACTGCAGCTAAACTCTGATTGTTAGTGTGTACAAAAGAATGCGCAC